CAATTAGATGTGAAAAACCCAAATTGCAATGGTCTTAACTTTGGGCTGGAGATGAGGACAGATGAGAGCACACTTCAGGTTGCTTTCCTTAAATGTTGTTCTTTTGTGGGGTCTATGAAGTATGCCTTCTTGCATTTGCCCCATGTGCTGTGAAACACCCTTCTCCCAAAGACCTGGCAGTCTGCTCATACTCCTTACTTTCTAGAAGGTCTGGAAATGTTGACTCTTCCTACAAGCATTGGATAGGATGAGGCTGGAATTCCAGTAAGATGATACTTAGATGTAGGCGAAATTTTGATCCCAGGATTCCATGGGTTTTTGAAATTTTCACTGACTTTGTTTTCTGATTGTTTTTAATGTTTTCTGTACTATCCAGAGGTACTGTTACAATATAAGCAGCTGTATAAGTCTTTTGAAATAAAAAAGCACATATGAATGTGTTCTTAAAGAACAGTGAGTAAGGCATCCAAACCCCAAAGTTAGGGTAACATGGATGTGTTAAAGTTGGGTCTTCATTATCCAATTTGTACAAGTGTAATATATGGGAGTAGACAGCTTGAATGGTGTATCAGTTTTTCCTTAATACGATACGTGCATGGACATTTTAAATACTCTTAAAAGTAATGCTTTTTTCTTAGGGAGTAGAAAATTGATCTTCAAGGCGATGCAAATGGTTTTTACAAGTTTCTGCTTTTGAAGCTGTTCTCATCCCATTTTAATTCAAAGGGAGACAGATGATAAATGATAAAAAATAAATGAAGATTTGGAAAGATTAGCCAGAAATAAAAGTAACAGAATAGAGCTTTGCATCATGGATATGTGAAAACAAATGTTTTGCTTTAGACACTGCCTTCTTGCATTTCTTCTCAGAGTCATTTTTTAAAACATAATATTAGATGGTATGAGAATTAGATATCCAAGCACTGAATTACATTTCTACCCACCCATCTTTTCTGCTTTAGGAGTATTCTCTCAATATGGAACACATCAATTCACCAGGGAGGAAGTCTTCAATCTCCCTACAGAATACAACACCCAAACGAGCATCACTCACTCCCTACTGGATCCTTTATATGCAGGTAAAAAAGGGAATGATGGAAATAGGGGGTGCCTTGATTTTTAATAACCTTGCTGAGATCTTTGGGACAATATTAATGAAGAGTACCTGGGATTCATAATCTTTATTCAGAAATAGTTAAACGAGAATGAAATCCAGTCTACTCCTGAAGTTATGTTTATGCTAATGTTAAGAGAATGTGGGCCTTTATGCTGCTTTCCTTGTCTTCCATTCCACTTCAAGAAAAAGTAAGAAAAATTTCCCCCTAGAAAGTTGGCAGAACAGGCCTTTTTCGTACATAGCTTTACTGAATGGTACTATATTTTTTTCATAGTATTAGGAAACTCTCCTATCACTGCTAAGGCCAGGAACCATAACAGAGCAGTTATTTCTAAGTTAAAGAACTGCTTTTTTTTTTTTTTTTGGTACAAAAATTAAATGGAGACCAAAAGAGCTTCTGCTTAAAGCACATTAGGACCAGCATCCCAACTTTATTTAGGAACTTTGGAAAGTATTATATTCATCACACAAACGGTGCTGAATGCCTGCAGGTGCACCCGTGAGATCTTTTAAGATAAGACGTCTGTGTTGCTTTATATGTAATTGTAAAGCTTTTTAGGTTATGGATGATTTCGCAGGATATGAAGAGGTCTGTCTTTTAGAATTTAGATGATAATCAGAAGTGTGACTTCAGGAATGATTTCGCAGGATATGAAGAGGTCTGTCTTTTAGATGATAATCAGAAGTGTGACTTCAGGAAGGGCTGGGATATTTACTACCTCTAAGCGGGCTTGGCTCTTTCCCGAGTCCCTGAACAGGTCTAGGGGTATCAGATAAACGTCTCTAGGGTGTTTCTAAACGCAACCAAGTGCAGGGGCAGAAGTCATAAAAGCAATGCTTCAGGATTACAAAACAAAAAATAAACTACGTTAAGCTTTCACATACGTATGGCTATGTGTTTGTGCGCATACACAGATTGAACGCACTTAACGTCTCAATTAATTTAGTTAATAAAACAATTAGCTGGGTTCGCAAAATGCACTTGTATAAATCAGAATATATTTGGGGTTACTCCACATACTCAACAAAACCTAAACAGCCAGTTTTATGCTTTAAGAATGAATTGCAAATCTAACAAACGGGTGGGGGGGGTTGTTTGTTTGTTTTTTGCTATTTTTATTCTGTCCCCTCGTTTCAGATGGGATGCTGATGACTACCCAGCGAGTGGAGAGTGGCGGCACCCTTACCAAACAGATCACCAAAGAATACATCACCAGCACGATGTCCAGCAATAGTGGGACATTCTCCAGACAGACAGAGAGACAATTCTATGAAGCTTAAGCGCACAAGGAAACTGCCCCAAAAGACACTTGCGTTTCCACAAGATGTTCTGTGGCCATCCTTCAGATGGGAGCGGATGGCAACCTCTGTGCTCCATTAACCCTAAAAGTCACTCGCTGGCCATTGCTTTTGAAACGCCACCAGGTGGTATCTGCACACAGCCTAGCTGGTAAAACTAGCATCTCGTGAAAGGAGCTTTTAACAGAACACTTGATTATGAAACTCTCTTGGCTAGTTCTCCTCTGAGCCCAGCTCATGAGTATCTTGCTTTTCTGCTCTGGATTTGGTTTGAAATCCTTACCTCAGACCATCCTTTTTCACTTTGCCTATTTTAACTGGATCTCTTCCTCTTTGTCGATGTGAAGACCACCCTCAGTTTTTCTTCTTCTGAGCATGATAACATCCTGTTTGTCATACACATTCCTTGCAATGCAGGGGAGTTAATCCAATTGTTGGAAAGTAGTAGGTTATAAAATCGCATGCTGTGCAGTATATAGGAATTCATTAACAGATTAACAAAAAAATACTGTTGCCTATTCTATGGTATAAGGTTGCTAAAATATATACAGGTAGTCCTCGTTTAGTGACTGTTTGTTCAGCAGTCGTTTGCTGTTACAACCATAATAAAAAACTAACTCTATGACTAATCCTTGTATTTATGACCTTTGCAGATAAAGATAAAGCAAAAGACAGTTGAAGCAAGAGTATAAACACAAGCACAGTTTCACTTAGTGACTATTAAGAACCGGAGTTGCTGGTCCCAGGTCATGAGTGCTAAACAAGTACTACCTGTAAATCCTTTTCCAAAGAATCCCCGATACAACATGGGGCCAATTAATGTATCTTTCCAACTTCAATGTCAAATATTTGGTATTGTGTCATGGACAATATCTTTAAGAGGAAGCCCTCAAAATAAAAATAAGTAAAAATAAATAAATATACTTTTAGCCAACAATTTACTTGCTTTCAGATGAGGCTCTTATGGTACAATTGCAATAGCCCTTGGTCATAGTCCCAATGTCATTGTTTCCCATACATTTTCCTACTACTTGTTTGGTCTTTTCCCCCCAACCACATATGAACTAGTAAACTGACAATGATAGCACCGTGTCACAGTGTTTTTTGGGAAGTAATCCTAAAACTCATTTGGAAACAAACTGAAACCCTAATTAATATTAGTTAATGTGGCTGTGCTGCCCAGGAATTCTTCGGTGAGGTCAGGATGCAATTATGTGGCATGTTATCTATCTAAATCAGGGTTCTCAAAGCTTATTGACTTGGTGGACTTCAACTCTATGCCAGCTAGGAATTCTGGGAATTGAAGTCCACAAGTCTTAAATTTGACATGATTGGAGACCTCTAATCTAAATGACAAGTTTATTCATCAGTGCCTATCATCACATAAGGTATGGGTAATGCTAGTTGGCTTATCCTGCACCCCACGACTTGAAGTGCCCCGTAGTTGTGGGTGGTTCTCAGAACAGATGGACATAACATTTCTTGAAACTGAACATTTGATCAATGCCACTAGGAAGAGTAATGCAGCAAGGCCCATTCATTCAAAATGGAGCTCTTAGATTCTTATATTCAGTGCTGTGAATCATTCATAAAATATGGAATTGTTAAAGTTCCTGGACTATCTTTCAAACGGGCAAGATTTCTTTAGTATTCAAGAAAATGAATGATTTCCTGGATCCTTTGTAAGAAAGTTCCAAATCATTTCTTCCTAGGAGAAGCTGCATTAACTTTTATCTTCAGAGCTTCCCATTTCTTTTTCTGATAACGATTTCCTGTTTCTTGCAAACTCTTTACTACCAATTATTAAACTTTTCCCTCAGAATAAGAACCACACATCTTGGTATAATCCAAAGAGTCACTGGAGGTATCTAGTGGCCATATTTTAGTAACAGGGTCAGGGGTGGGATTCAAATGTTTAACAACCGGTTCTGTGGGCATGGCTTAGTTGTTGGGCGTGGCTTGGTGGTCATGTTACTGGCTGGGCGTGGCCAACTCAACATCACTCACATTGAGGCACGCATCTCCTCGCATGGCCTCTCGTGACTGTGGGGATGCTGCAACAGTTGTAAGCGTGAAAAAGGGTCATAAGTCACTTTTTTCAGTGCCATTGTAACTTTGAATGGTCACTCCACACAAGCAAAGTATCAGCAAAGAAGGAAAAAAAACTCCAGGGAAGTTCCAGAGACAGGAAGTCTAGTCCTGCCAAGAATGTAATAAGGGTTAACGGAGAGGCAGTTTCTGCAAGCAACACCAGAATGTTTCCTTACTGCCTTCCTTACAGGATTAGGCCAGTAATTTCTTCTAACAACCGGTTCTCCGAACTGCTTAGAAAGTTAACAACCGGTTCTACCAAATAGGTGCAAACTGGTAGAATCCCACCCCTGAACACGGTCATTCTAAACAGAAGTTTCAAAAGGCATTCTATGCTTTCACTGATGTATAATGAAAAACACATTATAATGTAAATTATATGTTTGTAGATTATTATGGCTTGCAGATGATGATGGAATTAAGTACATATGCAGTTTCAGTATTTCAGAGATCTAACAGATGGTGCTTTGGACCAGATGGCTTTTTATTGCACTTAATAAACATTTTCTCTATGATCGCAGCTGGTTTTTTTAAATTTTCAAATATGCTATGTGTAAAAAAAAAAACCCAGCTTGACTGCTAATGAGGGCAACAATGCAGATCTTGTACAAATTTAATTAAATAATTAACAAATTTAATAATTTAAAATCTGGCTAGCGAACAGTTGATGTTAAACAAGTATTGGCTGGTTTACATATTACTAATCCATGACATGTTTAACCCTGGTTTATTAAGACATTGTGTTTATGCATAACATTGGTACAATAAACTGAGCTTTACAAATCACGGCTGGATCACAATCACACTAAAATGAAAATCAATTAACCACATGAAGGTTTCATACAAGGGAACACAGCCAATTACTTTAAGGTGACAATCATTCATTTCATTGAAAGAAAGTGTCATGGTTGCGAGTAAGGGTCCCAATCAAGTCAGGATTCTGAAGCTGTAGCTTTTCTCAAAGATCCATTTTATTGGGCACATCATATCGGCACATTGAAATGTGAAACCAACTCTAAATGAAACCCAGAAGAAAGAATAGACATCAATCCTCTCCCCCTTTATGTCACAGGTCACATTAACCAATCAGGTAGATGGCAGGCTGTTCGGCTGCTCCCTCAGGCGCTCGCTGAGATGACCTTGGTTCACATTCACATGGATCTTATTGCTGTTATGTCTGGCCACAATGGAGGAAAATATCCCACATCCTGTAGATCCCCCTCCCCTCCCATATATGTGGCATGTAAGAAATGAAGAAAAGGAAATATGGCTTCAGCCGAAGTCGTTTTGAAAGTTGACAGAAAAGCTATCATTACTGTAAATTTTCTTTAATTTAGATTATGTATGTCCACTGGATCAGAGTTGGGGCAGAGAGAGGAGAGACAAATGATAAATGAATCATGACATCATACAAACAACACATCTTACATCTTTGCATTACAATCATTTTATCTCATAGATATTATGATGCTTCTTTTATTTTGACTTCAGTGTAACTGACTACAGTTGTCACTACCACAACACCTAGCTATACCAATTATATGGGTTGGGGGTATTATCTCGCATTAGCCCATCCTTGACAGTAACTAATGATAATATCAAATGCAATAGAGAAACTCATCACAAAGTGGCTCTATTCAAGATATGTTTAGTGGATAATTCATTACTGGGAGATGGCTCATAAATGGATAAGCAGGAAAGAAAGGATAGAAGCAATATTTAGAGCACAATGTAAAGCAGAAAGCCTATTTCCATGATTAGTCTCTGCTTGGGAAAATAAAAAGGAATTGTTTTGGAGCTGTGGAGTTTACGCCAGACTTTCTCAGCCTCAGTATTTCCATCCAGGTTGTTGAAGGAACTTATCACAGAAAACTGTATGCAAAAATCAAGAGCGTTTAACCAAACTCATCACAGTGTTTCACTGAAAAAGAAATCGTGTGCACCAAACCGTCTTATAAATCAGACAAAAATCCCTTTTGGGCTCTTGGCTAAAAGAAAAAAACACCTGTGTGTACATGCAGGTTTTCACTTACTTTACTTCTTTTATGGAAGAAGTCAAATCTTTGCTCCAAGCGAATAATGTCCCAGGGAAGCTGTCCCCAAGCGTCATGCTTTTCTTATCACTTTTCTTAGTGAATGCTACAGACCAGCTGGAAGAGTTTTCAAGACAGGAGGTGTGCTTTAGATCCATCAGCGGGTTTTGTGAAATAGAATGTCACTGTCCTGCTGTATTTCTCCTAATCGATAAAAGCAAAAAACCATGATATATAATTATCTGAAGGGACACAAAGTACATCAGGAGAAAAATTTCACAAGTGTGGAAGTCTGACGTGGGGCATATCAGATGGCTGTATATCAGATGGAGGGCAATTATTAAGAGGTAAGCCAAAGACAAGAACCATTCTGGTGTAGTGGGCAAGGCATCAGGCTAGAAAGTGGGAAACTGTAAGTTCCAATACTGCCTTAGGCACAATGCCAGCTGACTGACCTTGGGCTACTCACTTTCGGACGCAGGAAGCAGACAAGGACAAACCACTTCTGAAAAACCACGCCAAGAAAATTGCAAAGACTTATTCAAGCAATTTCCAATAATCGGACACAATTGAAAGGAGGGGGGGAAAAATACCCGAAGACATTATCAGCAAGCATTTGAGTTTGCCCAAACAGCAAATTTAGCAACAGAAAACATGTGCTGATAATGTACATTTAAGCCAGGACTGGGCAAATGTTCTTCCAAATGTTCTGGTCTTCTATCTGCTGTAGGCAAAACTGCCAAAGTCAAGAAATTGAAACACCCAGAAGGAGGCAGATTGCCTGTGTCTGGATGGAAGCCTTTTTATTCAAACAACAACAGTTCTAATAGCAACAGAAAGAAACCGCTCTTAACAGAGAAACGGTGGGAAGATAAGTAGCAAGTAGACCAAGACAATTTCTATGCTCCCCAGCACAGACTTTTCTCCTCAGAACTAAATTCATCTACCCATGCTAAATACTGTTAAAATCTTTCTTTCTCTCACACAGGCGCTTTCTACTGTACTTCATTCCTCTAAAGCAAGGGTCTTCAAACTTGACAGCTTTAAGGCTTGTGGACTTCAACTCCCAGAATCCCTGAGCTAACATGACTGCAGGAAGAATTCTGGGAGTTGAAGTCCACAAGTCTTACAGCAGTCAAATTGGAACACCCCTGCTCTAAAGACATACAAATGCTTCCCTTTGCAATTAATGTCATTATGGTAGGGATCTAAAAAAAATATTCCATGTGTGGACCATTTTATGTATGCAGTTTTGGCCTATTTACAGAACAAAATTAGGGTGTTTCATTCCAGTATGGACTGAAATATGATAGTCCTGGACAAATGTGGTTTGCAATGGGGAGTAACTGGGAAGGGTGGGGGGGAGGAGAGAATCCAAGATTGAGTATTTTTCTTAATGCTGATGTGTGAGAACATGGTGCATGGTACAGCAGAACTTGAGAGAGAAAAGGAGACAGGTGGAGGGTGTAGCAGTGGAATATTATCATCCGTGGCTGGAGACAGGCAGAGGAGAAAAGGAAGATGTTAGGAATTCAGGATCCAGAAGGATATGCTTGAAGTCTGTTTCTTGCTGCTGGGATCATCTCAGGAATAAGCAGGCACATAAGCCAATACACTAGGGGCAGGTTATGGCTCAGAGAGGCAGGGTTAGGGTTAGGATTTCGTTTCAAGGAATGACTTCAGATCCTTAAAACTGTTCTTAGATTTACAGTGAGGAATTAGACCACCAAAGACAGCCAGGAAGAAAAATAGGTCTGGATTCACGAATGAAATTTACTGATAAACATATCAGAATTTTATCTAGAAGAACTAAGCATAGAATCCAAGAAGAAAAAGCTGATGTTAAAATGATGTTCTGCTTGCCTCTTCTGTAAATGAGAGAACTGTACCAGCAAATCCACTCTTGCAGCCCGATCAACCACATACCTTGATATGTTTCAGAACTTTTTCTGCGGCTCCAGATTCAAGAAGAGTGACAGTGCAACCTCCAAAACCGCCACCAGTCATTCTGCTACCATAAACTCCAGGAACTTCCATGGCAGCAGCTACCAGTTCATCTAGTTCTGGACAACTAACTTCATAGTCATCCCTGAAGGGAGGAAAAATAGGTGATTTTTAAACAAAAAAGAGGGAAAAAACCCACTAATTATCAATTATATGGAAGGAAGGAAGCTACCCATAAAGGGGGAAGGTGGGAAATGGTTAGGACTTAAGAGTAGAACCAATCAATAGACATAGGATGGTACTACAGATGTACTTAATTTTCATCTTGGGATACATTAAAGCAGACCTGGGCATTTTACAGCCTTGAGACACATTCAGCTCTTTGGCTGTTTCCATCCAGCCCGCATGAGGTCAATCAGAAATTAGAAATCAGATGTAAATAAGTGTACACTATGCACACAATACAACTGATTGCTTTTATTTTGAAGGTTACTGCTATTTTTTTTCCAGTTGACCTTTGTGCATCACACCCGCTAATAGTTCAGCTCTCCCCAACAGTCTCAATTTCTCATGTAGCCTCTTGGGGCAATTAATTGCCCACCCCTGCATTAAAGTATATCACTTGCAATGCACAAATTCTATGTCAGAATTCCCCAACCTTTCAGAGTTGGTGGCCTGGAGTGGGAGGACAGGGAGAGGAGGGAATGATTTTGTGGGAGGAGCAGGTGCATGTGCGTGCATGTGCACAAGCGTGTGCAATGTTTGCAGTGATGCTCACATGAGTGGGACTTCAAGTGCCCACAAGGCTTGCACAAGTGGGACTGCAACCACCCAGCACAAGTGGGGCCACGACCACTTGCAACGACATTTGTGTGAGTCGGACCACGATCGCCCGTGATGCTCGCAGCGACTCTCATGCAGGTGGGGCCATGCGCGCACACTGACTACTCACACGGCCTGGTGGAGATTAGGCCACAGGTTGGGGACCCCTATTCTATGTCATTACACTGCATGTAAATCTTTGTTGAAGGGATATGGAAAAGAATGTGATACGCCAAACTGACTTCATTTACTCTTAGGAAGAAATGCCCCATATGGAATAAGTATGATTAAGGCTGATAATTTAGTTCACACTTTCTCTGTCTTATTTAAAAATGTGTCTTTTCTGGCCAAAGGCATGACAGATTGTGTTTATGGGTCCATCTGGCGATATACAAAAAACAGTAATTTGGAATATAAAAGGAATGAAAAATAGTAGGTCTACATTAAGGCGTTCTTAATTCTGTGAAACCAAAGAGATGCTATAGATGTACAAGTTGTCCTCAACTTATGACCACAATTGAGGCCAAAATTTATGTTGCTAAGTGATACATTTGATAAATGAATTTTGATTTTATGACTTTTCTTGCCACACTTAAGTGAATCACTGCAGTTGTTAAATTAGTAACATGGTTAAGTGAATCTGGTTTCCCCATTGACTTTGCTTGTCAGAAGGTTGCAAATGGGGATCACAGGACCCCGGGACATTGCAACCGTCATAAAAGTGAGTCAGTTGTCAAGCATCCAAATGTAAATCATGTGACCATGGGGATGCTACAATGGCCATAAGTGTGAAAAAGGGTCATAAATAACTTTTTTTTCAGTGCCGTTGTAATTTTGAACGTTTACTAAGTGAACTGTTGTAAGTCGAGAACTACCTGTAAGTTGTGCTGATCTTCTGCAGTAAATAGCTTCGTTGTACATCCAATCTACACATACATACAGGGAAATCTTTACGTGGAAATTTCAAAAATGGTCCTTTGATTCTAAAAATGTTAATTAAAAATAAATACAAAAGGAATAACCTAGACCTGTGATGCCAAACCTATGGCACACGTGTCAGAGGTGGTACACAGACCCCTCTCTCAGCTCCGCCACACATATGCGTGTGCCTCCTACCAGCCAGCTGGTCTTCGGGTCTCTGCTGAGTATGCACAGGGGGGTGGGGCACACGCGTGGGAATGAACACTCATGCACGGTGTTATGATATGTACAGAATAACCCTTGAGTAACAAGGATATGCACACGGAAACGTTTATGAGAGTAGTTATGAATAATTATCCAGCCACACACAGATACACTAAACTGAGTTAAAGTTTACTTTAAGAAATAGCACAGTCCAATAAATGGTCCAGGTCATATATGTTTAACAGTCCAAAGAATATCCAATTACAAAGTCTTCTTACCAGTTGCCTTTGTCATTTACAGTAAACAAAAATATCAAAGTATAAGCACAGCAAAAATACAACAGAGAACCTTAGATAGCAACAGAATGTCAGAGAGACAGAATGTCAGAGAGAGCAAGCTATGATCTCTAGCTCCCTCTTATGGTAATTTGCAATATAATCAACCAATCAGAATATAGTATAAATCAATACAGTGATTTTGTCTTAAAGCTACAAACATACTTTGTTGGTTTATATATTGCCAACCCAACTAACTGGTGGACAGATTCCTAACATGCGGGGACATGCAGTGCATGCGCGGGTCTCGCACACATGCGTGCGGGCAGGGCACTTGCGTGGAGGACAAGCATGCATGCGCGGGAGGGCACCGTATGTGTGGGGGATGCATGTGCATTGCCTTTGGGGATGCGCGTGCACGCTTTGGGGACTCGGTGCTGAAAAGGTTAGCCATCACTGACCTAGACTGTATATCAGCTTCAGACTGTGGCCTTACCGTAAGGAATTGTGGCTCTCTACCATCAGCTTTCCAAACCTCTTATAATCCTTGGCCTCCAGGGCCTCGGCTGCCCTAGATGTGCGTTCAATCTCTCCGATCACATGCCTGGCTCGCCTGTACATCTCCTTACTCAGGAGGCTCCTGGACTCTGGAGAAAGAGAGAGAGAGAAACAAAATGAAACAAGATTCAATCAGGGCTCAAAGGTTAAAAATGATCCCCAAATGGAAAGTTTTGAGCTTCCCATATGCTTTCTGTCTCCTCCTGTATGATAGTACAGGTAATAATCCTCCTTTAGCAACTGCTTTGTTCAATGACGGTTTGCAGTTAACAACAGCCATGAAAAAGTAACTTTAAAATATGCTAACATTTATGACTTTTCCCGATCTGTAAAGCAAAGGCAAGCCGAAGTAAGATCATAAGCCAATCACACTGTTTCTCTTAGCAATTACTTTGTTTAATGACTGAGTTATCAGTCCAAATTGTGCTATACGAGATCTACATGCATGCCCAATATGTCAATTGCCCCTCTCCTTTCCATCTCCCCTTGCTCTGTAACAGCTGTACAAAACTTCAGATGTTCTGAAGGATGGAGGCTGACATGCACCCCCACCGACCCCTTTTTCCCAAATAATGTTTACCCTCTAAGTCTGACATGCTGGCTTCTCTCAGGCTTGCCTTTCCCAGCATCTTCGCTGCCTCTTCGCACTGACGCCGACGTGTGGGATACTCGCTGCCTGTCAAAGTATGTCGTACATTGGAGTTGGTGATGAGAACAACTAAGTCTGGGTCAGTCAAAGGGACCAGGCGAGTTTCCAAGGACCTTGAATTACAAGAAGACATAATTAGATCACACGAAATCATCCTATAGGACCTAGTAGAGGTGGTTACTGGGTTTAGTTATTTATACATAATACCGAAAAGAGCTGTCATTATAAACCAAAGTACATTGTCCACATAAAACAACTTTAAAAATTCAATGCTTTAAACTTTAAACCTGCATTCTGAATTCTAAATTGTACATGAGGGGTATGCATTACATTCTAACAATTTCTAATCTTCTATAAAAATATTCATATATCCATTAAAACAGTGATCCCCAACCTTTTTTACGCCGCGGCCCGGTATCCCCAACCTTTTTTATGGCGCGGCCCGGTACCGACATCAGCTGGGCGCCGCCATCTTGTTTTGATGAAAAAATGCTTCCGGTGAGCTCACCGGAAGCACTTTTTCATCAAAACAAGATGGCGGCGCCCAGTGCTTCCGGTGAGCTTTTCCGGGTAGAAATGGCTTTCTATCCGGAAAAGCTCACCGGAAGCACTTTTTCATCAAAACAAGATGGCGCCGCCCAGCGCTTCCGGTGAGCTTTTCCGGGTAGAAATGGCTTTCTACCCGGAAAAGCTCACCGGAAGCACTTTTTCATCAAAACAATATGGCGGCGCCCAGCAAGCCAGCGGCCCGGTAGGACTTGTTCCATGGACCGGTACCGGTCCGTGGACCGGTGGTTGGGGACCCCTGCATTAAAACATTGGGTATTAACTGTCAACTTAAAGGACATAAATGAGTACACTCATTCTCCTAACGGGGAATACCTCAACACTGGTTATGGGCCCAGACTCAGACAACTGAAAGTTAGTGTGAATACACAGTACCGTATACAGCTCCATCCCCAGCCTCAGCAACTTACCCAGGGCTTAAGGTTGAAGGGTTATCTGAATGCCCTTTGAGAATTTTATTCCATAAATACTTTACGGGAAGTTTTTTTTTTTAACAGAGCATCATTATCCTTCTTCTCTTCTGAATACTGTTAACTTAATCAGATGAGATAACTGATCTGTGGGGACATGATCTCTCGATGTAGATGGAAGAAGTTACAAGAGAACAACTTATTGCCACATTCTGACCTGCAGTCTATCAGCAAGGCATGTCCTTCCTTCCCCATCACGGAGATAAATTGGTCCATGATACCACAAGGCATCATTGCAAAGGTGTGTTCCGCTTTCTGGCACACCAGTGCCTTATTAACTGGATCCCTGTCATCTGTATCAAAGAAGAAAAATATCCATTGACAATTTAGTACTTTATTTCCATATAAGGGAAAGAGGGCCAAATATAATTTTTTTTGATGGTACATATACATATATGTGCAGATGTATATATGTGATACATATACATATATGATACATTATACATAATGTGCAGATGTATAAAAAGTTCAGCCTTCTAGTGCTTGTTTTCAAGGGTTTGAGATCTTTACAATGGGTATGGCCAAGAAAATCATGTTCCATGTTCCAACTTTATTGTTCTCTGCCTATTACACAGAAATCTCTCCAGAGTGGCCAATCTCATCTGGGAATGAGCAGATAAAGCTCCAAGGCAATAGGGGAGATGAGACCTCACCCTCTTGTGTTTATATAGTGAATCCAGCCTGATTCCTTGCTTGAACCCTCCTCCCAGGAGGGATAGTTGCTGTCCAAGAACCCTTGATACATTGTGTGAATTCAGCTACTGTGCTTTGTAAACGATGATTAATGCCTTAGAGCAGGGTTGTCAAAATGGCAGCCCATGGGCCGGATGCATCACACGCAGGCCACACCCACTCCAGCTCTGCGAAGGGGGAAAATGTCACGAAACATTACAGAATGGCAACATGACGTGGCGAGTTTGACAGCCCTGCCTTAGAGGGTCATCCATTAAGTAAATTCTAATTCACTATTTTGTTTTTAACGGTGATCATGCAGGTGCTTGAAAAAGAGAACCCCAGAACCTATAAAAGTTAGTCTTTCTCCATCTAGCCTGGTGTGGTCTTCCCTGAGTGGTAGCAGCTTTCTAATTTGGCAGAGTATTTGAAATTTGGAATTTCCAGGGATTGCAGCACATCTTTACAAAAAATCTTCAGCTGTGTGGTCAACCTCAGTCTCATTTAGCTAACAAAAAGGGAGTAGAAATTTCAGGTTGAAAAATATATCCTAGACCAGGCTTCTAAAGGGCTACTTTAGTTGGTTGATTGTGGCAAAGAAAGGCAGGAAACATTATTTACTTCCATCTCATTATCTGGATTTTGCCCCTCAGCCCCTAACTTTCCCCAACATGGCTGTTCTCCAGGTGGATCATCTTCAGTCTCAGAATTCCCAATAAAGCTGGATGTGTTGAAACCAGTTCCTTTATCCTAATACTTTGCTATAGTTATTTTGAGGGTAAATAAATATATTTCAAATGTCACTGTTGGCACCCTAAAGTGGTCAAGTGTTCTTTTAAATTCTTCTCCTGGTAGATTAAGATTGGGGATTGAGAAATAAAGCCTTATATTCTCTCTCTCTCTCTCTCTCTCTCTTCTCTCTCTTCTCTCTCTCTCTCCCTCCCTCCCTCTCTCTCTTTTAATTTGGATTAGTTAGCTAAAACAGTAACAATTACCCTGAATTGATGGAAAACACAGGAGATAGGAAAACCAAAATGCACCTTCTATGTTTATTTAATGAATGATTGATTAGCTTGTTACAAGAGCTTCTTTTTCTCTTTCACAATTGTTTCCTTTTCCATCACTTTAATTTGCCCCACTATCAACTGCCTCTTCTTTCAATCCAGAAAGAAAGAAAGAAAGAAAGAAAGAAAGAAAGAAAGAAAGAAAGAAAGAAAGAAAGAAAGAAAGAAAGAAGGAAGGAAGGAAGGAAGGAAGGAAGGAAGGAAGGAAGGAAGGAAGGACTTTAAAAGAGAAGGATTGAAAGAAGACAGGCAGTTGATGGTGGGGCAAGTTAAAGTGATGGAAAAGAAGGAAAAATAACTTCCTTCCTATCCAGTTAGCACTTCACTTGCTTTATGGAGAATGCAAGTAATAATCTGCTGTTTCATCATAGGCATAGTATAATTCTTACCAGGAGAGAGTTGCTGCAGGAAGGTGTACATGGCCACTTCTAAGGAGGCTGAACTTGAGAGACCACCACCTATTGGTACATTACTCTCTATCACAACATCAAAGCCTGGGAGAGGGCCAGCTATAATGAAACAGAAAAGTAGCACAACATAATTCAAGGCACACCCCACAAATAATTGTAATTAAATGGACTATTCTGAAAAGCATCACATTTAACTAAAAATCTGTCAAGAGTTTGAGAAAGATGTTTTAAGTGGAGGGGTCAAAGACAGTGGCTGGAATTGCCTATTCCACTGCTATCTTGTCTTTGTGGGTGATGGGGACCCAGTTAATGGATTATACGGCAACCAGTTTAGCATTCTGTGAGGGAGATTTGGTAGGAAAATCTTCCTAAAGCCCTACTCAGGATGAGGAGACAAGGAATATTTCAATCCCTCTATTGAATAATGTTATGTTATAGACTTTCATCACCTCATTCCTGCCAAAGAGACTCTGTGGTGAGGGAGTCACTTGGGGAAAGGACAGAATTTTGACTGGATTGTTGAAGCTGAAGAACTTTGACTGGATCTTCAGCAGCTTTGCCTGCTAATGTTTCTTTACTCCCTTCTTACAGATGCTCCAACTGCCGAACCTCAATCTTAGATTGATTTTGGATCTTACCTTTGTAATGCTGGATAACCCCTTTTACATAATTAGCCCAGTGAGGTTCTCCGGGTTTCAAGGAAACACCTTCCCTTGGAACTGAAAACTGCAGAGTTTTAGGCTCTTCCGCTTCCTCTGCAGTTGTAGTTATGGATATTATTCCATCTTCCCTTGGACTCCCAACCACGACTGTTCTCATCTGTATGGCCTAAAGAAAGAGAGCACTGAATAGGGTAGCAGTGGAAAATCAACTGATTTTCCAGCAGTTGATGAACTACAACTCTCAGTGCCCTCCACCACAAACTGGGACTGCTAAGGATTGTGGTTCTGCAACATCTGGCGTACAATATGTCATGTCCAGTGTAACTAAATACAAAAGATGGGCAAGGTTCCTAAGAAACGCTTTTTTGCATGGCATTTCTTCCTCCCTTATAAATAGAATAGAATTCTTTATTGGCCAAGTGTGGTTGGACACACAAGGAATTTGTCTTGGTGCAAATACTCTCAGTATAAATAAAAGATACATTCCTCAGGAATCATAAAGTACAACACTTAATGATAGTCCTACGGTACAATAAGCAATCAAATCATACTAGGAAACAGACATGCAGAGGAGCCCAGGAATGAATAGAAATGAGGATGAGGAATAAGAAAGGAGTGTAGATATAGAAGCAGCAGAATTACTCTTCCTGAGGTTTTTAATTTTGGTCACTAAGGTTAATTATTATAATGGAGAAAAGCCTTTTGATTTGTAATGATTTCTCCAATAAAGAGCTTAGAAACATTGAGTATGCCTATTCACTGATGTGTTTCCCAAAATACACAATTGCTGACTTCACACATCACCCCTGGCTAATCTATGGCTTGATATTGTGCAAACTCAGCCAGTGTGATGAGTCTGGGGTTCAATGTGTTTGATGACCTAAGGCAGTGATCCCCAACCTTTTCGACGCCGCGGCCCGGTACCGGCATCAGCTGGGCGCCACGGCCCGGTACCGGCATCAACTGGGCGCCATCTTTTTTTTGATGAAAAAGTGCTTCCGGTGAGCTTTCTACCCGGAAAAGCTCACCGGAAGCACTTTTTTACCAAAAAAAGATGGCAGCGCCCAGCAACCAGCGGCCCGGTAAGGCTTGTACCGGTACCGGTCCGCGGACCGGCGGTTGGGGACCCCTGACCTAAGGCATTTGGATTAATTCAGCCACCAGACATCCTCAGATCAGAGCTGCAGAAAATGGTACGGTAAGAAAGTAAATTTGGAGATGTGGTAGAAATCTTACAGCACACATATAGAAATCTGCTTTCATCACACTGGATGGAATCTGTTGTTATTCATATTTTCACAAATTGCCACCACTGTATATCTTGTAGAATACAAAGAAATAAGTGGCTTCCAATTTAAAATGAAGTCCCATGGAAAAACAGAGAAGGAATATGCAATTACACCATCTGTACTTCTTTAGGATCGGGGTGAGATTTTTATTATCCAACGGTCATTATAGTTCAATACATCTAGTGGGTTGAACTTCCAAGTCTATGGGCCGCAGAGACAGAAAGAATAGAACCTCTTTAGAAAGAATAATTTTAATTAGGAGAGAATGGTGAAGCAAAGATGAAGATCAAAGATATTTTGGGATTTAAGAGTGGAGTTTTAGCATGACATTAATATAGGCATTCCAAAAGTTAGCTTTGCTTTCCCTTTAACTTCTAACGTCTTAAGAATCATTTGTAGACGCAAACAGATTCAATAAAGGAGAAAAAAAGAAACCACTTCACATATAGTATAACAAACTATACTGTAGAGAACTATAAATAATAAAATTATATTTTAATAGAATGTGCTGTGTAAACCTAGTCCCAGGTTAATTCAAGTGTGTTGTTTGTACTCATGAATGTTTTGGAGTTATTTCAAGAAATTATATTCAGTGAATATCTTAGGGTGTTGTCAGAACAGCATTTTCACACTCAGGGAATTTTACTTCTTGCCAAATTTTTAGAGAAATGTCTTCATCCAGTAAACATTTTGTAACAGGAAACCATAATGTTTAGATATAAAATTCAACTTTTTATGGAATAATTTGCCTTTGAATTCATACTATGTCAGGGTAATGAAAGCATAACTTGGAAAAAGTAGCTTAACATTTGCTATTTTATAGTTAGTGAATATTTAACTCCACGTTTTGCAATCCAACCAGGCTTAACTCTGCTGGACGTGGAAGAGATCAGAAACATTTCTGAAATGAGCCAAGTCTTCAATGATAATCTTCAGCAGCTTTGCCTACCATTGACCCCCCAAAAATATCTCTAAATACCGGCATTCCCATATTTAGGAACAATATTAGTATCTTCATGGCAGAAACGACTTTTTTAATTCTCCTCCTCTACATCGATGAAGTCAACATGAAGGAATTTCCCCGAGATGTCTTTGAAAAATCCCCATAAAACTGGAAGAAAGAAGCACAGCCGAAGTTATCTTGATTTTTCTGCCCGGCATTGCTTCCTTACCATAGGTAGCACGAAACCTTGATTGTAATCGGTGTGCTCTCCGATCAAATTTACCCTTCCGGGCGCCGACACTGCAATTTTAGGGTCTTCCCCGCCATAAACCCTTTTGTACACTTTCCGAGCGGCTGCTAGTAACGTCCCCACTGGGTTGGAGTCTCTCCCTTTTTCCATGACCCCGATCCACTTTTGCAAATCGCAGGTTCCAGCGCTGAAACTACCGTCTCCGGAAAAAGAGGAGCGAAGAACTGCGCAGACGCGCGGCTGCATCCGCGTTCTGATCAAGGCGTGCCTAGCTCTGGCGTCCAGCTCCTTGCTCCGCCAGCACAGCTCCTTCGTGTCCTGTAGGGGTCGCTGTGCAACTTCAATTCTTGCCTTTGCTTTCTTGGGTTTCTCTGCGCTGTTTATCCCCGCTCCAAAGTAGTGTGCTGGCATTTGGGGGGGGGGGGGGGAGTGCAAATCTACACATACACACACGCAAAAGGCTTTGCTGTGGTTTGCGTAAGTAATGATTGGTTAGTTCTCAGTTAATGTTATTTGAAGGATGAAGCATAAACAAACAAAAATGCAAAGAAAACAAAACCCTCTTCTACCAATTACTAATTAACTAGCAAAAATACCTTGGAAAAGTTCAAGTTAACTACCTACCATAATAACCTGAGCAGAAAATGCTTTCAGAATTTGCAAAATCATTTGATGTATGCACACCGTTAAGTCAGTACTGTTCCTTACCAACCACATAAATGATCTTCTCCAGGATGATCTGTCCTCAAAATAGCATAGACCACCATTGTCATTGTGTCTATTCACCTTGCTGCTCTTTGCCCGCTTTCTTTTCAGCTTCCCGTCACAAGAGATTTTTCTAGGGAACTGAGTCTTCCTTTAATAGGTCCAAAATATAATTTGGTCCTAGTCATTTGTGCTTTTAATGTGAATTCTGGGCTGACTTGTTTTATGATCCATTTGTTTTTTTTGTCTATCCACGGTATACCAAATGTTTTCTCCAAAGTTCAACACTTTTTATATTCTAGTAGTACAAGTTCATGTGATTACTTTCTAAGATATCTTGGATGTTGACACTCCTAATATATAGAATTTCAGTATATTTCACCCATCTTTGTTTGATCTTTGGATCAGTTATTATCTATTTATTGGTGTTCTTTCCTATACCAATTTGAGGTTGGAACTTCCTTCTGAATTTGGGGAAGATTCTTCTTGTTTTTCCATGACAATTTCCCTCTTCCTTATCTTTTCAGATGTTGATACTATGTTCTAAAAGATTTATAAAATTATACAATGAAATATAGGGGAGTTAATAACAGCAAAAAAGAAAATAAAACACTCAGGAGAAGCAAGGTGCCATAACACTCCTATGCTAAATACCCATGTGCAGGGCTCAACTCTAAAATGCAATTGAAAAAAGAACATTTGTGAACAAGGAAGGAATCTGATTACACACAGGAGTAAGGCTGGATGTCTACTTAACCTCTGTAGAATAGTTATCGCTATGAAGAAAAACCTGCCAAACTTGGCAGGCAACTTATGCTGTGTACGTGGCAGTTAGCACTCATAGGGGTTAAAAATGGTTATTGGTGGCCTCCTTCCTGTAGTTCTCAAGCCATATTCCTTTCCAGAATTTGTGACTGATTGAAAACAAGCTGGCCTCAAAAGAGCTGCATTCAAAGACAAGGAAGGTATTTAACAAGCACATTAGCCACAAGCATCAAGATGATGTATTAATCATGATGTATTAATATCCTGTAAAATATTCAAGTGAAGTTTGATTTCTGTTGACCTCATGGACACATCTATGCAGGGTTGTTGGTTTTTAAAAAAATAAGATTTAGCCTTGCCATCTTCAAAGATGTTTCCTCCACTTCTTATTCTACTTTAATTTGAATGTACACTAATTGGCATACATTAAAATGAAATTTTGTTGCATACAGCTCTCAAAGGGTCTCCACCTCTAATATACACTTCATAAACATGACAATACAAAATAAATACAAAATTAAATAAATACAAAATAAATACAAAATTATGCATATACCCACATACTCTCCCCATTCTTAACAGGTCCTTAAAGGGGGCGTGCATCAGTGCACCAGTGTGCTTATAGTCCCTGTCTTACTGTCCCCATTTATCTGTATTTATTTCCTTTGTTCTTTTTTATGTTCATACTTTATCTTGTTATCTTATACATGCTTGACAAACAAATACAATAAATAAAATAAAATATTTTACATGACACGGAGAAACAACCAAGGCCAAGTAAGGCACTGGCTTAGCTGTCAAAGTTTTGGGGGAGAGCAGGGCTACCAATGCTGCTTTTCCTTCAGAATGATTCTAAAAAGTTAAATCTTGCATTTTGGCAGAAGGTGGCATTGTTCAATCCATGTGATTTAGGGGCAACTCCAGTCTCTTGAACTGACTCTGCTTACACAGCCTTAAATTTCCTGAGGGGTTTCCCATTCAAGGATTAACTTGATCCACGTTGGGTCTCGTTTTAGCTTTCGAAATGAGCCAACGTCGGTTAGTACATTTTGCCACTTGGCTGGGCTCTCAAGCTTACGCTGCGTATAAAGGAGACTTCACTGAACAACAACCGAATCCTGGAGACCGGCGACGGGACAAAACATCAACGCCGGATCCAAGCGAAAGGGATGGGAGAAGAATTAATTATCCCGGAAAGTCTAACGACACCCATCATATCTGGGAGGAGGATACAAATTGAATTTTTGGAGCTTATTTTCACCTCTTTCCAAACCCCGGCAAATTCGACTGGGCCGGCCCGAAGACCGCTCCCCCCCCCCGTCTCGCTGGAAGAATGGTACCTTCCAGAGTTTTGCCTGCAGCCGGGTGTTTGGACGAAGAAAAGTCACTCTCGGACAGTTTCCATCGGGCGGAGGCGGGAACGGAGCCTGAATCCGGGACTCTTGGGCTGATCCGGAGTCTGGGGAAAGCAGAGCCGAGCAAAGCACACTAGGATGAGTGGGAAAGAGCCGCTCCTGGGCGCTCTGAAAGGTGAGAGAGAGAGAGGTTCGCGACGGGTAATGCGAGAGCATTGAAAACGAAGTGTTGGAGAACAGCCTTCCTTCGTAGCATTTGGGGCTTAAATGGAGCGTGGCTCTGATGGGTCACCCAGCTGTCACGGTGAAGAAATGCGCCGTAGAGATGGCAGGTCATGAAAGGAGTTGGTTCTGTGCGAGAAGATTGGTACCTCCCAACCGGACACGTGTTCTCCGCTCCCCACGTTCAAGTGATTACAGAACTCTCCTTTCCTTGTAGTAGTAGTTTAAGATTGGATTTCTAAGGTTCCAGTTTAAAAGTAGATGGAATCAGGAAAACCGATCACCAGAAGTCCAAGCAGAGTGTGCAGGATAAATGCTGGGGTTGGGACATTTTATAGTCAAATCCAGGGCTCTCTCTCTCACACACACACACATCCAGTAATGAAAACTTGATAAGATTATATTAGAGGGACAGGTGTCCCTCACACATGAGGATACATAGAAGAGACAATTTCATGTTTGCTACTACTTTGTTACTACTGTATGAAGATGCAGGGAAGATACATACCCACTTTTGAGTTTTGTCACCTCCAGAGTCCTGCTAGCTAAAAATATTTTTTAGTTCTCATATTGGGTTACTTCATTTAATGACCTGTCCATAGCTGTAGCCATTTTTGATGCACAAAGAAAAAGATGTGTGTGGAATAACTAATACCGGTAATTTCTTACTGTCTTTGTGTCACCCTTTATTTTTAATGTGCTATTTTCTGCTGGTTGTTGATAACCATCAGTAAGAAACTAGGGGATTGTGTTTTTGTCAAGCCACAAACATAGTTGTTTTTTCCAGCCCAAATCTCATTTTTTATATTTAGATAATTACTGGCTAGCCCACAGAGGAAAAAAAATGCAAATACAGAAGTTGTCATTGCTCCTTTTCTGTAGAAAGAAAGGGAAAAAACCACAGTACAAAGATCTACCCAAATGTAAACCCTCTTATATGCTATAGGATTTCTTCCAAAGCAAAATATGTAGGATTGTAGCCTGTATGTGTGTGCAAAGTATTTTTTCCTAGAAGCACTATGTTTTACCATTTTATTTCTCGAATCACACTAGTATAAACTGGTTTGCATGATGTAACGCTGACTTTTTAAATGTCTGAAATTGTGAAATTAACAATTTAATTTATCAATATATTGTAAGAAATATATGCAACACTATCATGAAAATTACACCTTAATTTCTGTAGTGGCTGTCACTTGTATGAACAACTTGTATAATTATGTCTAGTTTTTGTCTCAAGACATAAAAACTTCATAGATTACAGATCTCCCCATATTACTATCTTTTGCAGTGACATATGAGGGATTTTTAAAATGACGACTTTGTTTATAAGTTTTTTCTTCCTCATTTAATGATTTGTCTTATGGGGTTCCTTATCCTTTTTCTTTAAGCTCTTCTTGCATGCCCCTACCTGAGTGGGATTTACTTCAGTAGACGTGTAGAGGATTTTATTGCAATTGTCTTTTTTTTTCTTTTTTCTTTTTTGCCTGCATTCACATAACACACTAACCCATGGTTTTGAACCATGGTTTACCTTTACAGTACTGAATGGCCTGACAACACAAACCATACACTTGTTATTTGGGGGACCTCTTGGACTAACAGCTCCTCTTTGAAAAGCATGTTTCATTTATGGCCAGTAGGACTTTTCTTCAGCTTCATGTTGTGCACCAGTAATGCCTTTTCCAGGACAGGGAAGCTTGCCTCTTGGTCACTCCTGCCCTGGTCATCTCTTGTTCGGTCACTTATACTCTGGACTATTGCAATGTGCTCTACATGAGGCTACCCTTGAAAAGTATCCGTAAATTTCAGCTGATACAAAAATGTGGCTGCATGAGCAATCTTGGGCACCAAAAATCAGTGCATGCGACACCTTTGCTGCGTGAAGCTGCATTGGGGTGACAGTTTGCTTCCAGATCCAATTCAAGGTGCTGATTATGACATTTAAAACTCTTCATGGCATGGGAGCAGATCACTTATGGAGCCATCTTAGCCCCATCACATCAATCCATCCCACCTGGTCAGGCAGGGAATTTATACGCTGCGGAGCTTGTCAGTTAAAGAATTCCAACTGGCAAGGTCCAGGAAGAATGCTTTCTCTGCTGTTGCCCACTGCCCTTCTCCTCCCCACTCCTTGAGGCAAGGCAGACCCCCCACTCCCCTGGTCTTTCAAAAGTATAAAGATCTGGCCCTGCCACCTCACTTAGGGCTCACAGAGGAGACACTGGGATGGTCTTCCCCACCCCCACTTTTATTTACCTTTTAATCTTAAAGTTTGCTCTCCTTGTCTCTATTTTTTTTTATTCAGCTATGTTTTCATATTTTATTTACATACCACCCAGAGCTCTAGCAGGGAGATGGGTAGTTTCTAAATTTGATGAATAAACATAACCACATAGGCATACAATACACTGCACTATAATCTAGCCCAGATAATTCTCAGTAAGTAGTATGTATGCCACTGGTGGGATTTAGAAATAATTTAGCTGGGCCTTAGGTGGACTTTACACCATTAAAATGTACAGGGAAGGATAAATGTAACAACAGTGCCTATAAGCATATAAATGAGTGTGATAGTGGATAAAGTGAACTTTTAATTTTAGTTATGATGGAGCCTAGTTATAATAGTTATGAGATATTTATTTATTTAATTTATATTGCCGCCTATTCGCCCATGGCGACTTGAGGTGGCTTACACAATGTAAAACGATATTTAAAACAGAAAATAAAAAACAATAAAAACTAACCAAAAGAATCAAATAAATTAGTAAAGTACAACAGAACAAAATTTGGGAAAACAAAAAACAAAACAAAAAAAATGCACATTTGGAGGAATCTGCCATTGGAATTAAAATTGGTGGTAGGAATATCAACATCCTCCAATATGCAGATGATATAACATTGCTCAATGGAAAGGAAGAAGAATCTGGATTGGCTTTGAGTCAAAGATGAAAGTGAAAAATTTGGACTGCACCATAACATCAAGAAAACAAAGATAATGACAATTGCAGAGAACACAGAGGTTAGAGTGCAGATTGACAATGAGACCATCGAAACAGTAAAGGAATTCATTTTCCTGGGCTCTAAACTCGACCAACATGATGACTGCAGCCCTGAGATCAGAAAGATATATAATATTTGAAAGAACTACAATGTCCACCATGAATAATGTCTAGAAGACTAAAGACATCAGGTTCCCAACCAAATGCAGACTAGTTAATGCAATAATTTTTCCAGTTCCTACTTATGGATGCAAAACTTGGGCTCTGAAAAAGGCAGATAGAAGAAGGGTGGGCACTTTTGAACTGCAGTGCTGGAGACATCTATTACACCTCCCATGAACTGCAAAAGTAACAAGCAAATCCTAGACTGAACCTCACGAAAAATATCACCTGAAGCCAAGATCACGAAACAAAGGCTGTCGTGTGAGTTGACTCACTCAAAAAATCAATCATGCTGGAAGTGATCTGTGGAAAAAGAAGAAGGAGCCACCCTAGTACCCTTTGACTGGACCCTATAAAGCATGACAGCAGGATGACCATGGTGGATCTGAAGGAGGCAGCGTGAGGCAGAGGAGCGTGGAGAGTGCTCATCCACAGAGTTGCTGAGGATCTGACATGACTGAATGGCTGATAATGATAATGGAGCCTATGGTTTTTAATCATTGTTTCTTGCAATCTTGTCAGAATTACTCATACAGTGAATCCATGTTATCCCAGCATTTTACATAAAGCCAGATATTGCAGACTATTCCTGCAAATTCATTTCATATAAGAAACTGAATACTAAGCAGTTGGGATTATATTAATGAGCTTCCATTTTATAATCAGCACACTTTCTTGTGCCGTCTTAAGCTATTTATCCCTGGGTGTTCCTTGCAGGGTTGTTCTGAAGATCCCTGGACTGTAGAAATCAGAATGATCATTAGATAGCAGCAACGAATTAGTCTTCTGTATTTCTCTGCTACCATCTAGTAATGACCCAGACTTTGACAGCCCAGATACAATAATTCTGTGTAATCACATGTACCACAATGTACCATGTTGAACATTTTGGAAAAAGGTGAGATAATTATTATATGATAAATATGCAAATAAGTACAGTTGTCATCTTTATAGAACAGAAAAAGACACAGGATCTGTTATACAGTACTGTTATTCCATATAATAAACAAAAATGTGGAAGGAAATTTCTTTCCCAAGATGGTCAATGGGCTTGATGGGTGGAACATGCATTCAAGGACAGTCAATATTTGCCCAACCAAGCCCATGGTTGATGACTTTTTACACAAATTCTTATTTATATTAAATATTTCTTTCCTGCTTTTATTGGCCCAAAGTAGCAAAAGCATTTACAAACACAGTGAATATTATAAATTAGCCTTTGTGTCAAATCAATTAAAAGGGAAGACAGCCACCTTTAGAACATTTCCAGTGGAGGTACTAGTTACTAATTAAAATTAAAGCAGAAAGAGAGAAGGAAGTTAAATTATATGCCTACTTCCTCAGAAAAATTGAGCCTTACTGAGTATAATGAGAATTGCATCTAAGTAGGTGTGCCCGGCACAATTTAAATAAATAAATCACTTGATTTAATCTGTTTAATCTGCTTTAATCTATTGATTTCCTATGTGTCTCAGCCAACAATTAATGTTTTGCAACTGGAAACTCCAAATTATTTCTTTCAGATAAACATATGATTGCTTGATTTGCTATATGTTGTAATTTATTTCAAACTTACTTGTCCTAGTTTGCTATGCCTAAATTGCTGGTGGAAACAGCATGACATTTCTGTACCATATCATCTATAAAATTGCCTAAACTTTCAGTCAGGTTTAAGAGATCTCTTTTTATTCCCAGTGTTAAGAGCAGGAGTGGGATTCAGATTTCTTAACAACCGGTTCTGTGGGCGTGGCCTAATTTGTGGTTGTGGCTTGGTGGTCATGTGACTGGCTGGGCACGGCTTGCTGATTGGGCATGGCTTGGTCACGTGACTTGTATGGGTGTGGCTTGTATGTAAATATTGTAAATATTTATGTAAATATTGAATTTTTTATTTTAAAAAAGAAACTTTTACTCAAAATCAGGCAAAGCAGGCAGGCAGATTGAGTTGCTCCCAGAATCACAGATTCACTCAGAGATCTATCTTTCTGCAAACTGCTACCTGAGTCTGCACCAAAAAATAGAAGCTAGGAAGGTTCAGCTCTGCTTTTAGATTAGCTAGAAAGCAAGAAATCCAATGATTTCTTGCTTTCTAGCTAATCTAAATCTCCCGGCACAGCTGATAGTCAGAGCAACTGATGGTCGGGGGGGAAGGAAAAATAGCAACTTACCAAAAATGAGGCAAAGGCACAAGGCAGGCAAGTTGGATGCCAGGTAAGGAGTGACTGGGCGGGGAGGGGAGGGGCCAGCCAATGGTGCAATTTGCTGGTTCTCCAAACTGTGCAGAATCGTAACAACCAATTCTATAGAACCAGTGCGACCAGGTAGAATCCCACCCCTGGTTAAGAGTTCAGTGAAGCCATTACACTGAAGCGAAAGAATGGGTTTTAAATAATTAAAATAATGTATTAACATTTTTACTGTATGAAATGAGAAAAAAGGTTTGTCCCAAAAATCAGTATGTACAGTATTGTATTTCAAAAAAGGATTTTGCCCAGAGTTATTTTAACTTCTGTTATTGCAGCCTACATTTGAAATTGCATTTGAAACTGCTCATGCAAGTCAGTCTGTATTTGGTATTGTTCATGCTAGTCAGACTCCATACTGAGACAAATATTTTTAGATCTATTCTTTTCCATTTGAAATTCAGTTTATACATTCTATTTTCTTGCAGTGTGCATTCTCAACTTTCAGGAAAGCAATAGTCCTTACACAGATACCTGTCCACATTTACAATCCTTTTGTGAGATCCTGGAAATGATTCTTCGGAAAGGATTAAAACGTGAGTACCTCTTTTTGCTCCATAGCTTAATATTGAGAAATATACTTGAGACGTTTGTTGGTTTTGAAGGCATGACTTACAGAAAGTCATGCCAATGAGACAAGATTAGTCTTAAAATGGAAAAGGAAAACATGGATCCAAAAATATTTGCCTCAGTATGAAGTCTGCAACACCAAATTATTTTGTATTGGACTTTAACAACCACTGGCTACGCACATGGTTTTTTTACATTCTACTAATGGATTAGAAAGAGTGTAAGGTAATGAATTAGAAAGGATATAAGAAGTCATCCTTTGGACCAAGGGTCTCCAAATTTGGTAACTTTAAAACTTGTGGGCTTCAAATACCAGAATTCCTCAGCCAGCCAAAATTCAAATGAGGATTTTTTGTATGTACAGTATGTTACAGATTTAATCTATGTATTATAGATTCAATATTTTTCAGGATTCAGACCACAACAGTTCTGTAAAATATAGAGAGTTTGCTAAGCATATATGGCACCATTAGGAAACTCTTGCATCAAGGTAAGTTGCATGTAACATTTATAAAGTTCATGTCTTGCAGGTTTCAACAATATATAAATGTGGGTGGTCAAATGGTAATTTGTGCAAAAGACCCTCAAAATTGTTTTTAAATAATAAACACTTCTTTGCAATTGGGGAAGACACAAAACATTGATGTCTGCACAAAATACACCAGGTCATTCTCTGCAACAGCACTCAGAATCTAAGATAGCATCTAATTGTAGGTCTGCTAAAATAACTATCAGGGGTGGGATTCTACCGGTTCTGTCCTGTTCTATAGAACCCCTTGTTAACTTTCTAAGCAGTTCATTGGAGAACCGGTAGTTAGAAGCAATCTCCTTTTGTTTTTTTTCCACCCTTATTACATTCTTGCCAGTACGCCTAGACTTCCTGTCTTTGGAGCTTCTGGGGCTTGACTTTCTTAAAGGGGAAGGGTTGTTTTAAGATTTTTACACTGCTGTTGGGAGGAAATACTTCCCTGGACAATCAGCACTTTGAAGAAATAATTGAATAATGAAGCAAAGCTTTTAGTGATAGGGAACCAAGATGAGTGACATTCAGCAAGGCTTCTTGGCTAGCTAGAAAGATTGACATTCAAACGTGAGTTTACATATCCTTTCTGAGTTTTGGTCAAAAAATGGTTTTTGATGAAGACTAATTCTGTGCTTGGTGATGTTTAATCCTGTGGTTATTTATGGGATAATTTTCCCTATTCAGCTTCAACAAGCAACAGCTACTGTTGTGATTTAATTATTTGTATTGTGTTTGATTTTTTTCCTGCCTCATGGTTTCTTTTTCTATCTGGGGAGGGGGTCTTCCTTCACTGCTTTAGTACTATCTGGCACTGTCCTTTTGGGGGTATACTTCCAAGAGGCAGGATGCAAGCTTGCCAATGATTTTTTTTAACTGCCTTTCTGGAGGGCATGTGACGTTTCCTTAAATCTGCAGGATTTCCTTAGGATATCTTGTGAAGTGAGTGAGACCAGCTGGTATCTTTAAGTGATTGCTTTTCCTGGGTGTGCTTTTTCTGGAGAGCTTAAATAACCTCTCTGCTAAAGGATTTCACTTTACGAGCAAGAGATGGCTGCTTGATAGTTATCACTGCATTTTAATTATTTTTATTCCTCAAGGTGCTCTGGCACCCTGCCTGATTTGTAACTCTGGCTTGTAGGTATTTTTAATCTAATGATTGGCACTTAGGGCAGCTTTTTGCAAGCAAAGAAGCTTTTTGTATTTTTGTACAGGTAATCCTTGACTTACAACAGTTCATTTAGTGACCATTCAAAGTTACAATGGCACTGAAAAAAGTGACTTATGACCATTTTTCACACTTATGACCGTTGCAGCATCCCCACTGTCATGAGAGGCCAGGAGAGGAGAAGCACCCCCTTGACATGAGTGATGTTGAGTTGGCCACGCCCACCAAGTCACATGACCACCAAGCCACACCCACCAACTAAGCCACGCCCACAGAACTGGTTGTTAAAAAAACTGAATCCCACCCCTGATAACTATCTCTTTATCAGATGATAAAAAGTTGTACTGCTGGTGTTTAGCTAAGGGATATGGTCATCTCCCAGTCTTACCCTTCTTGCTAAAGGATGGCCTTTTGTCCTCTTCAGAGCCAGTTCTGGGGTTCAAGAGGAAGGACTATTGGCACTGGCTAGAGCAGCTTCCGCAGCAGGAGACCCAGCACAGGTAGGTGGCCTCTTGGAGCCTTTTACGATGCTGTAAAAAGGAACTCAGAATATTGGGTTTTGTTCTTTCCCTGTGGCAATTTTAACTCAAAGTTCCCAGACTTGATTTCTTTCTATTGTTCACATCCAATGCAGTTTCCTGTCTGCTGGAGGAGTTGTAGTCCCATATTGGAAGAGTACCGTTAGGAAATAGCAAGTCAGAGATGCTCTAATTTAATACCTCTCATGCTTATTACAAGGTTTCATGGACACTGTACCCATAACTGCTTTTGAATTAGGCATGGAGAAATTGTGGTTTTTGTTATTTTATATGTTTCGACATAATTTTAATGAACAGTGGGGTGAAACGTTTTCTTTTGATGAGGAATTCCCAGCTGCTAAAATGCTCTGACTTGTATCAGGGAAAGAATTCATGGAAGGCACATACAAGTAATCCTCATTCAGTGACCACTTGTTCAGCGACCATTCGAATAAGGGGACTTACAACTATTCCTCGTAGTGCAGAATCTCTACAGTCACATGATCTCAAATTGGGTGCTTGGTAACGGCTTGTAGTTATGACAGTTGCGGCATCCCACCCTCACATGATCACCATTTGCAATCTTCTCTGCTGGCTTCTGACAAGCAAAGTCAATGGAGAAGCTGGCAGGAGGTCACAAATGCCAATCATGTGATCACGGGACGCTGCAACTGTGCAGGATTTGCCTAATGATGGCAGTTGGAATTGTTGCAACTGCCACTGTAAGTAGACATGGTCATGTGATGTCATGTTTTACGGCAGCATCACACAGCAGTGAAGTTGCTGATCTCAGTTGCCGTCATTAAGTGAGGACTGCCTGTATTATTTTGTACCCATTCTAACAACATTGAAACAACATTTTAAAATACTCAGTAGCAGAGACCGTGTTAACAAGAACTTTTCCACTTGTAGTAAGACCCTTCTGTCCATGATGGTTGAGAAAACGAGTTCTTGTGAGAAGGTGCTGACCGCCCAAGGAAGAGGGCGGTACTTCCTGCGTCTGGCTTTGAATGGGAAGTTATTAGCAGTTGCTGTTCAGCAGCTCATCAGAACTCCCAGGCTGCTTGAGGTGATTAAATAATCCAGAGGAATTCAGAAGATAATTTGAATAACGACCACATTTTGATTTGTGTCTTTGTCTCTTTGCTTGAGGCCTGAGCTTGAACACTACTTAAAGGTAAAATCTTTAATTTATGAATGCAAATGGAACTACAATTTCTGTTGTAGGGCGATGCCATTGTAATACAAGCCATCACATGACTGGATCCAATGTTGGAATCTATGATTCTGATGCTGAAATTTTTATCTCCTATAATTAGTATGATTTGGGGGTTGGGTGTCGACAAGGTTTTGAAAAGTGTACTTATGTGGTTGGAGAATAGATTTGTGTCATTGTAACATTGATTGCCTTGGACTTCAACAATACAAAGTCGGGTTGAACTGGAAGACCTCCACACTTTCTTCTAGCCTTATGATTCCAACTGGGATAAGTCTATCATTTTAGCGTTGCATCTGAATACTGAATTTGACTTGCTTTTCTTAATGATAATAACAACTACAGTATTTTGCCTATGCTTTTCTTTTGTCTACAAAGATCTGGCGCTTCCTGGATACGAAATGACCCATTCCAGTTCATTTCAGTGTGTTGAATTACAAAATGTCAATGTTTCATTTTGACATTTCTGCTGTGCTAACATCCATTTTGTTTTGCTTTATGTTCTGCCATTCCATATACCCGCGATGGCGAACCTATGGCACACATGCCGGAAATGGCATGCACAGCCATCTCTCCGGGCACGCCAGCCATTGCCCGTTGCTGTCCTGGGTTCTGGCACATGCAGGCGCCGGCCAGATGGTCTTTGCCACGTGCATGCACGCCAGAAACCGGAACACCAGGTGGCGCACCGGGGAGCTGCTCTTCCGATTTCCGGTGCTGCCGTTTCAGCACTTGGTGCCGACAACAATACCATATACAAATGGTGTAGATATCTTTGCATCAGTGATCTTTGCTTTTCCTCCGACGCACAGCTGCAGTCAGACATTATTTAATCTAATTATATCAAAGGACCAGTACTCCTTGTCCTCTGCATTTCTCTGGTAGCCTACTGGATAGCTTCTTAACTGGAAGCTCATGTTGCAATATTGTGCTGACATTGTTCTGACTGGAAATGTCAGTCATTGGTGTGTTTTTTTTCTTAGCAGAAAAATAAAGTGGGTTACTATTTTTATGTCCTGTGAAGACAGTTTTTCAATACTTTACACTTAATGTGCCAGGTTTCAAATTTATGCTTCTTTCTTGATTTTCACTTATTACCTCTTATTATAAAACATGTTTCATATTTAAACATGTCTATCAAAATAAATTATTTTAGTATTGCATGTTTGTTTTTATAATCTGATTTCAGTGTTATGATCCAATAGCATCCATCCTGAGCAATGAAGAATTTTCAGGTAAGATTCTGCTCTATGATTATACTACCCTCTCAAGATGCCTCCTTGCATACATCATTGTACTGTATGACATTTTTGGGCAGTAACTGAGGGAGTGAATTTTAGCCAAAGTAAAACAGTGGACCATCCTTTAAAGCTAAAGGCAGCATTACCATTTTTCAAGAGTAAAGAGGACATAATGTGAAAGCCCCAACTCATATATTTTGGTAAAAATGGCCTTTCATGGATGTCTTTTTGTTTTGTTTTGTTTTTTGTGTTAAGCACATTTTCAGGTTTACACTGTAGTTTTCATCTCCTTCCACCTACTTCAACTTGGCAAGAAGTTGTGCCATTAATTTCCAACAATCCTAGCCAAGAATGGGTTGTGAAAGGCCAAGAAGTTGTATTTAACAGGGGAAAAAAGAGGAAAAGAAGACGAATAAATGAGAAAAAAACAATCAGAGGAATTTGTATACCTGGCAAAATGCATAATAAAGATTAATAAAGCAAATTGACAAAATTTATGATAGATAAATGCTGGTTGAAAAGTGGAGGGCTGTATGAGTTCTACTGTGAGAAACATGTGAAAAAACAAAAAATGTTTATTTCTGCCTGATTTTTATATTCAAGTGAAAGTTGGCTAAGTTGGGAGAAACAGAAATGAAGAGAGGTAACTTAAAAACCGTGTGGTAAAACAAGGGTTGGTCATGAATGAATAGGTGCTAAAATATTGTGACAGAGAGTACAAAAATAAAGCGACTAATAACAAGTATGTTGAGGTGACTTGGTAATACAGCCACACAGATTTGCTCCTGATAACAAGATAATAGGAGCCGTAGTAGTGCAGTGGTTAGAATGAAGCATTGAAGGCTAATTCACTGTTCACTGCCAGGTGTCCGATTCTGACTGGCTCAAGGTTGACTCAGCCTTCCATCCTTCTGAAATCGGTAAAATAAGAACCCAGATTTTGGGGAGCAATATGCTGACTCTGTAAACCGCTTAGAGAGGGTTGTAAAACACTATGAAGCGGTATATAAGTAAATGCTTTTGCTCTTGCTATAAATTTTATAAATAAATGAATGATTGGACTATTTAAAATATTGAAAGGATTGAAAGGAAAGGAAAGGAAAAGCAGAAATTGTGATTGGAAGGAACTGAGAAGTTCCTCGGAAAGAAAAGGGTCAAAATTATAAACATCAATGTTAGTGTATGAAAAGGTGTATCGCTGTGGCACAAATAAGAATAGAAATATAGAGAGAGAGAAGAATAGTGAATGATGCTGATAAAAAGTAGATGTAGCTTTATTTCCTTTTCTTATTCTCATGCCTTGATTTCCTTGGCTTAACTCTAGTTTACACCTTTCAGCAGTTTGTGTGAAGGCACTTATCCTGAAAGTGGATAGCATTATGGGTATGACAATATGTTTCCGCTTCCTCACTTTAGGTTTCGGATCTGAGATTAAACTAAATTTTGCTAGTTTGTAATCCTGCCTGTGTTTGATATTTCCTCGAATGTTATCTGAATCTCATTGCAACAAAACCTACATTTGTTGTGTCCCCATAAACATTTCTGTGACATTCTAATAAATTACTACAGTACTGATCAGGGATTGGATAAAGACCTAATATACATATATATATATATATTGCTTTCCAGAGCCTTTCTTTTCCATGATGTTGGTGGTTACAGAAATGAATTTCTCCTTAGATTTGCAGGTACAGTAGTTGACAGCTTTGGATCATGTTGTTTTTTTTTAAATCCTTCTTATGATGGGTTTGTTGATATTCTTGCTGTTTTTCAGCCTTTCTGTTTAATGTTATAGATTGTTGAATTTCTGTTTGCAGAATTCCAGTTTCTTGGATGAAAGCTGGCAACTTCCAGTAAGAGATATTTAAATTTTCTTTCTTTGATGCCATAATTAATTATGTTCTTCTGTCCTGATTTATAACTCGCAATATTCTGCTGTTGTCTTTTTTACTGATTGTGTGAACCTTAACATTTTCATGACTGGAAAACCAAACTGGCATTTCATCTTTGGGGCTGGAATTTAATTTTTATACTATCTTACACAGAACTGGTGACAGGGACATGGAACTCTTAGAAATCTGCATTTGGGCATGCTTTTGAATTTGATAATGAGCTTTTAATGTGCTTTCTAATCATGCATGCAACCTCAGTTACAAAAAAAAAAAACCATGTCTGTGAAATTTGAGCCTCAAGTTCAAATAATATTGTTTCCATTATCTATGTTTTCGTTGAAATTTTAAGCATTTGTCTTTTCAATTGTATCTAAGGGTTTCGAGCTCTGATTTTTACTGGATCATGGAAATAGGCTGTCGGTTTGATAATTGTTCTTAAATTGTATCTGTTATAAACATGTTTATACTCTTTTGTGGAGAGAAAAGATACTATGGTAAGACCAAAATAGTTTCATGCTATCAAATTGAGCCTTAGCCTAAACCGTACTTGATTTACTGCATTTGCATAATTATAATTTCTTTACAACTCCTATAGCATGACTAATTGTGAGAGGTGCTGGGAGCATCATATAGAAATGCTATGATTGGTTCCTCCTCTTAGCTCTCAAGATCAAGGATAATTTAATTCAAGTTGTGATGAAACTGAATCTGTCTTAGAATTCTACTTTCCCTACAATTAATGATTTTGTTTCACCCTATAACTGCAATTCTGTTTTTTCCTTTGTGAATAAATTGAGATTTCAAGGTTTCAGGGATCTTCATAAAGTCCCTTTCAAGTGCTTATGTTCATGGAAACATGCATATATTTTCCCCATATTAGTAAACATGATAGGTATACAAATCATTGATTTATTGTAGTCTTCACCATTTATATATAACTTGAAACTCTTGATTCATTTTTTTTTCCTATTAAATACAGTTATCTCCATTACTTTAGTTACATTAGTATTACATTAATTTTGGAATCTTTATAGCTTGTGCATATACAGCTTTATTTATTTATTTATTTTGCATATCATTCAGGTTCTTAACTAACGGTATGTCATCTTAGGCATGAAAAGTGCATATCCCAATCAGCACACCTCTGATATCACTGTTCTGTGTATCTTATATCTAAATACAGTAAGCAGCAAAGGAAATATCACATGCTCTTATATTACCACTTTCTCAATGTTAGACTTTTTGCTAAGTATTCCATTTATCTTTGTGCATGTGTTATTTACTAGTGTACAACTGTTATCGTGCTCAACAACTGTCAACTTAATGTAGAACATTTCAAATTAAAGGTTATTATTTTATTGTACAGTTTCTCAAAAGTAAATGTACAATAAACCTAATTTCTTACATTCATACATTTCTTTTACTAAAGATTCTTCTATGTACCCATGTTTGGCACACTATACTTCCCAAACTTTATTCATTGTCATCTTATGAAAAAATAAACTCACCACCCAGGGTGAGTTGACATTTATCTTTATCTCCTGACATCCAGAGCTTAACTGGGCTTTTTTCATCACATTTTTATATTATTTTATAATGTTACTTATAAAATGCCCAGAGTCACTGAGGTGAGATAGGCAGGTACAAATCAGATAGACAGACAGACAGACTTTCCACCTTCATATTTCATCTCATCTAATGGAAGCTATGTAAGAGTGGTTGTATTTAGAGGCCCTAATGGAAGCAAAATGTCCCATTTTGTCAATGGTGGTTAGCTTGATGAAGAAGAATTCCTTCAAATGTGCTAGAAGTTCTACTGATAAATCGTGCTTTCCAGGTATGCCAGACTTACGAAACTGTCCCTTGCCGGGAATTGGGAATGGTGCTGAGGTAAGATATTTGACCCTTTCATATATGGCTTTTTGATCCTTGGTTTTAGCAACCATTAAGATCCAATCAATAAAACTTTTGCTGGATTCTTAGATCATGCCAAACTATGGTTTTTAATTGTGGTTTATTGAAGAAACCACAGTATCTGGGTTCACATACAACAATACATCATAATAAACTATTAAATCTGACTGTTATGTTTTGGCACACAACACTAACTTAGTTCCATTTTATTTTATGTATTCTGCTCAACTTCTGAGATTTCACTGGACATTGCTCACAAGCTGCTGAAAAGATTTATAAGAAAAGATACTTAGGTAAAAGTTCAGCAATCACTGAGGCTGAAATACTTTCTCAGGTGGATATAATTGGGCCAAGTACTACCATATTGGCTTGTCTATTATGAGGTCGAAGAATCAAGTTTATATGAATGACTTCCAAAAATTGGAAAAGGAGCACAACATGTTTTCTGTGTATAAATTACCTCCTCCAAATTATAAGTTCTGACCCCTGCCCAATATAACTTTACATGTTATATTTTGAATTTGGTGGTGGATGAGCTAAACAAAATTACCGACAGGAAAACATTTCCTTTCAAAGTTTTGCTACTTTGCTCAAAATTAATGATACAGTATTTTTAACTATTTCCAGAATGTGTTTATATCTTAACAACTTAACCTCTTTGCAATATTTCAACCTAATGCATCTCAAATGGTATGTGGTCCCAAGGAGCTAGTCATTTGAACAGTGGCCTCAATTAATTCAATACACCTTATCGTATCAATTTTCCACTCCCGTTCCTTTTCCTAAAAAAAAATTGACATCAGAAATTGACATCTTAAGTTAATTTCCACTTACAATATGTAACCAGTTTCAGGGTGTTTTGATCTGCAACTTCCACCATGCCTTAGCACTAGCTTTGCTGGCAGTACAGATGGGAGTGTAATCTAAAACATTCAAACAAAAAAACTGCCTCTACAAGATCTGGTTTCTCAGTCACGTGTCCACTTTGCTGCACAGGCATTTTTGGTCTGGTTTGGATTTTCCCCTCTCACCAATATTTTGTAACATGCTTCAGTTTACCAAAGTATTCAGGTCTGGAAGAAGGATAAGACTTTGCATGTTGCTGGGACACTTGCATCAATGGCTTCTGGGTGAAACTCCCTTGGTCTCTTACGGGCCATGGTGGCACAGTGGTTAGAATGAAGTATTGCAGACTAATCCTGCTGACTGCCGATTGCCAGCAGTTTGGCAGTTCAAATTTCACCAGCTCACCGATTGCCAGCAGTTTGGCAGTTCAAATCTCACCAGTTCAAAGACTTCCATCCTTCTGAGGTCGGTAAAATGAGGACTCAGATTGTTGGGGGCAATATGCTGACTCTGTAACCCGCTTAGAGGGCTGTAAAGCACTGTGAAATGGTATAGAAGTCTAAGTGCTATTGCTATTATGTGTGTTTGAATTATGACTAACCAGTGCATTATTTTCCTAATGTGCTATCTCCAATCTCATTATTTTTGCCTCCTTTCTTTTGTTTGAAGTTTCTAACAATCCAATTCTTCAACAATAGTTATATCTTCTTCTTCTTTTTATATCAGGTATTTAAATGGACGGATTTTCATTATAGGAGTGCTTCCAAAGAGCCAGGCAGAGGTGGATGAAGTAGTACTAGTAGGAGATGTCATTGATGAGATAAATGGATCTTCCCTGAGGAATGCAGGCAATGGACAGGTATGGGAGGGAGGAACACCCTGATCCCTGGAGATGGACGAGGGAAAGTCGGTGTATTGTCTGCTACTTTGACCTGAAATGAAATGGAAGAGATGGCTGTGCATTGTTGCTATGGGAACGATACTGAACAAAAAATCTTGGGTTTGACCTGGAGATCAAGATGAAAAATCAAGGTGGGAGGGATGTAGAAATGTACCAGGTTTTTAAAATTCTTTTAATATTTGTGAGATTTCTACTTAGGATTGTTATTTAAGATTTTGGAAATGTAAATTTTGGATATTAATGGTTTATTTAAGGACTAAAGAGTTAAAACTGTACCCCACTATTGGCATCCTTTCCCATCCATTTTACCCTTCCAGGAGATTACCTCCTTCAACATAGAATGTTCAGATACACATTTATAAGGTCTGTTGCATGGAGTCCTGAAGAAGAATGGGTGGCTTACTTGGAAGAGCGATGCTTAGTATCTGCAATGACCACTCAGTCTACCATATCTTCCTCAGAACAGATGATTCATTTCTACTCTTTATCTCAGGCACAGCATGCTGAGGCATAGGGACCAAGACTGTTTTATGCAGTATGTAAAAAAAAAAATAGGGAAAGAGGAAGAGAGAAGGCGCTTGTCAAAGCCAAAGAGCACTTTGGAGTAATGGTCCTTAGCATTTCAAAGCATAAAGAATAACAATTAAAATGAAGCATTGCTAAAGAACATGTCCTCTCTTGAACTTTTTAAAGGAAGAGAAGATTTTAAAAAATCATCCAATCTTGTCTGAAGCAGCTATCACTCTCAAATGGTTACGTACAATTTTGTAAAGTAAAAAAAAAAAGCTTCTCTTAAGGGGTGTGGTCACAACTCGTTGCAATCTTTACACTAGGAGCCAATTTTAATTCTTTTAGTATATCAATATGTAGGCAACAGCATCTTCCCATTTTATAAAGAGGCAAATGATAAGTTTGGTGGGACTGCACTATTTGCAGAAGTATTAAAAACAAAAGTCTTTAGAAAGAAAAAAAGAAACTGTTACCCGGGAAGGACACTCTAAAAGAGACCAACAAGGATATATGGTGGATGAATCCAGAATGATGACAGATCCCAAGGAAGAAATGTGGTGGGGAAAGAGAGAGGATGAGAAATATGAATGAGCTTTCCTGGAAGGCGCTAGGAACTGAAGCACTCCACACTACAACATTTTACTGAAGAATCTATCAGTGATCCACATATTATACCATATTGCAGAGCCAGTCTGATGTAGTGTTGAAGGTGTTAGGCCTCTCAGGTATGAAAGCCAAGTGGGTGACCTCAAGTCAGTCAATCTCCCTCAGCCTAATCCACCTTGTTAAAAGTGGGGAAAGGCAGATCTATTACTATATTTTCCATCTTGATTTATATACCCAAAAAGGTGAGATAAAATCATCGTTGGTACAGGTTAAAAATTCACCAATTGGAGAAGATCACAGAGTATCAAAAGTCTGAAAATCTAAATTGAAAGATTATGGCATAAAATGGTCATAGTAATCCCAGCGGTTATTGGCACAGTTATTGGGACTCACCATAATAATATGCTAGCAAAAGACACTCTTATATGCTCAGTGATAACAAACTTTGATACTATGCTATGGTTTCTAATCACTAGGAAAATACCCAGTCAGTAAGTTAACAAGCTTCACTGACATATCCTAGTAGTAATCAGAGTGACCATTTAGATCAGCTTTTCCTGGCTCCAGATTTATTACAAGGACAGGGAATAATTAATCTAGTGGATGATGTTAGGAGGCCTTTGCTGATCATCCATGTATCTGTTCGTTGCAGGCTGGTTCAGTACTGCAGAAGCTGAAAGGCAAACCACTAAGCTTTCGCTTAATCCGGTGGAAATGGCATGACGGAGGAATGTTCAAGCCATTGTTGCCCTATCTAAAAGTTCTCAGAGAAAAAATCCCCAGCTTCCAACTCCAACATGAGCACAAACCTAAAGAAGAGAATGAGGAGCGAAGTTTGCAAGGAGGCAGGTAGTGGCTACTCAGGACAATCATGAAAACAAAAGTGTGGCAGATTTTCACAAGTCCTACCTCATCACCACTGTTTGGGTGCATAGGTTATTCCCCAAATCTAACCCACCGGTCCTTCACCTGCTGCAGTTTGTAGTCTCTGGCCTGAGAGGGAATCCTGGAAGGGAGCTAGCTCGCCTCTTTTCAAACGTCAGACAAAGGGTGGTGGACGCACATATTTTTGAATATCCCTCATGAAACAGAGGTCCAACAGATCTCACAAACCTCATTTCTGGTGGTTACAGAAAAGATGGAGTTATAGGTTGCACTGACTCATCAGCAAATTGTAGATGCACTAGGAGAGTGCTATGGGGACCTTCAGTTTTAGAAGATCCCCATAGAAAAACCCACTTTTCTCTTGGAAAAAACTTTTCTCACTTTTCCCACTTTTTTCTTGGAAAAACCCACTTTTCCCAATGGAAAACCTACTCATAGTTTGACTAGCTGTTACAATAAAGGTAGTAGATTTGGAATAAAGATGGAAAACAGTCTTTAATTGAGGCGGGCCGCTTATGGTCAGGTTCTGATTTCTTTGTGCTATCATTTGCTGTAGGCAGAGCAAAGTAATGCTTTATGGCATTTGTAAGAGAATATACACAATTTCTTCTGAGTGCAGAAAGAATTAGATTTAGAGAAGGTATCATAATATAAGCATTGCTTTCTTATAAAGCTGCATCAACTGTGACAGGGAAGTCATAGAAGCACAATCATGTTGGAAAATAGCCAGCTAATGGCCTAGGAAATGCTATTCTGTTGCTTAAAACACCTTTTTCAGCCTGTTCTCATACAAGCTGCTTCTTTAGCACCCATATGGTATAATGGAGATCTCCCTCCTGCTCCCCTTCTGGAACTACAAGATTCAGTGGAAGGGAAATGTTTTGCATTGTGGAATGTGAATGGCACAGGCCATGTTTATACGGCTTATTCTATAGAATGTATCCCAAACTGGGAAAGATCAACTTCTTCCATTCACCATTTTCATCTATTATTATAAAGAAAACTAAGAATGCAGTTTTGCATTTCTCAATCACATGTGTGGCATGCCAGCTAGGTTTTACTCAGCTGCCTTGTATAAATTTGCTGGTGATGATATAGCTCAGCTCTCTGGAAGTGTCTGGGATGCGGTTGTGGATCCTGGGAATTGCAATCTGAATACTAAATAAACATTTCCTTACTGGCAGTGTACAAAATTAATTTAGTGGAACGCACCCCTGTTCCTGAAATAGGGAAGAAGTCCGTGAAAGCTAAGTAGGAAAGCAGAACTGTCCCTTATAGGTGCATGCACTGAGGCAAAAGACTGGGAGTATCTCAGCAGATCGTTTCCTAGTCTTCAGTGATTTGAGCTAAAATCTCAGCAATAAAAAGAACACTTTGGATTACTTAGTACTCTCTCTCATTATTTGAGTGTATGTCTACGGTTCAGACTTGGCAAAAGTCTGCTCCCATAATATCAGGCTCCACTCAATTTTGAATAGTTTTTAGTAGTTGTTATCCACTGTAACATTTTTGCTGTTCTTGTTTTTTCATAGTTGTTATCAACTGTATTTATTTTACTTTAACTGATCAATATAAGAGGCACCCTATTAACATATATATGTCCTTCTTAGAAAAACAGGGCTTTTAGTTTCTGTCCTGACAATATTAAGACCATTATTAGTGAGACATGATAGAAGTGCTGTCTACTACTAGTAGAACTACTCTTCCTCTGCTGTCAGTAAGGACTACTGATTGAGAGGCTGGGGAAACAAGCATAGCTCTTCAGTCCTAAACTTCTGTGAAGGCAACTTCAGTTTGCTTTTGGAACTTTTTCACATGCTGCACCTTGATATGAAAATAAAGTAACTTTGCCAATTTCTTGAACTAATAGTTTAATCTTATCTCTCCATAGACTCCTGTATAATCTGCGGTATTTAGGCCAGGCCAATGTAGGAAAGGTGAGGCCATGTTTCTAAAGAGAAAAGGGGGGTTGTTCAGTTTTCAATACTACTTTTACGCCTGCATTTTTCTCACATTTTTTTTTCATCTCTTGGTTTCTTTTCCAGTATGGAGGCAAAGACATATTAGACGTAGGCATACCCATGGTGTTAGATAAGCATTTACCACAGCAGGTAAGATTCATGCTGGGAATAAGAGATGAATGTTTTATCAAACTACTTTCTTTTCCTCTTAAATCATTAGCTCAAGTTATGCTTTTTAAATAAAGAAGCAGATTGAATCTTGATCACTTCAGCCCATTGTGATGGCCCATTGATAATTTAATTAATAGTCAATAGGGATTTAGATGATAGGGCTATTTGAAATGAGAAAACACTACAGTGATAAGGCTTATGTTTTAGATTTAAAAAAAACATGTTCTGTGTAACAAATTCTGTGAAGAAAAATGTCTCCCTTAGGTCGCTAAGTTAAAGGCAGAACGTGGCTGAACTTTTGTTTTTAATGGAAAATGCCTTGAGAAGTGCCATTAAGTCATGTATGAGAAGTAAATCAAGTATCAAAATTGTCTAGATTAAGAACTAATGGAAGTCCACCGTTTGAGGCAGATATACACAAATGCCCATTTTGCAGCACATTTACTGACTGAACACCTCAATGACCATTTTGCTTTCATTTAGTATTTCATGAAGGTATGAAAATACGTAAGCTAAGCTTATAGGGAAGCTGATATTACTGAAGCTCAGATTCCAGAAGTAGGCACCATTGTGGGAGTAGCCACAATGATTGTGCCTGCTCTAAAATGGTGGCTGATCCCAGAATGATGCCGTTGGCCTCCCTACTTTATACAGAGGCCGAGGGGCACAGCAGTTGGATCTCCTTCCCAAACATGATCTCCATAGAGTATCTATGGAAAAGGTAAATAACTGACTTGTGTTGAGGGGTGGAGAGGAGGGTGTGGGACCTAGTGGATGTCTCTGCCGTCAGTTGATAAGGGCAGGCAAATTGCTAAGTACCCAAATTTCATTCATGCTATAGTGGCCATAACTTTGGGCAGGTGTCGCAAGTCCTTTCATTCAGCAATGACATAATTTCAAACAGTCGCTGAATGAAACATCGTAAGTTGAGGACCACCGGTGCAATAAAATAGAATTAACTCATCAGGTTGTGATTCTTATTTGGTTTACCCCACGGGGCTGACAGTGTACTTTAAAAGCCTCTGACAGGGTTGCAAGCAAGATGGCTAATCCCCTCATCTCCCAGTGCTCAACCCCACAGAAAACTGCTGGCCTGTGATCCCCATGCAGGGCAGTGGTGGAATTCAAATTGTTTTACTACCGGTTCTATGGGCGTGGCTTGGTGGGCGTGGCAGGGGAAGGATACTGTAAAATCTCCAGTCAGAGGTGGTATTTGCCAGTTCTCTGAACTACTCAAAATTTCCACTACTGGTTCTCCAGAACTGGTCAGAACCTGCTGAATACCAACTCTGATGCAGGGAGCAGCCGTGTGAACACATGTGGCAATTGCTCATCTTCTCTGTATCTAGAGGAGGAGGTTCCAAGGAACCAGCCTAGACACAGGCTGCTTGATCTTTGCCATGATCACCTGTTCTATGTTCGCAGAGCTGTCTTCCGTTTGCCATACTTCTCCTGGAAGTCCGGGAAGAAGGAGAAAGTTTTATGAGATGAGTAGGAGAAACCTGGTGTCCCTCCTCCCTCTTCTCCAGAAAAGCTATGCCACTTCCCACCTGCTGATTTCTTCCTTCCCTTTGTAACCAAGTAGTCGCTGCCATATTCGAATCCAATGCAGCATACCCAACCTGCCCCTCTCCCCATCTTCACCTAAACTTTCTTTGCTATGCAATTTCTCCCTCTCTTTGATTTTTTTTTACCATTAGACACTGCCATCCAGCTACCCTTCTTTTTCCATCATCTCCTCCATACCATATCTCTCCTTTCTGCTGCTTATCCCTGAACGTGTCTTCCAGAATTTGCACATTATGCCTGGAAAAAACATCAGGGTTTGAGTCTGGGCACAGACAGCTCAGTCCTGACTGGCCTATGGCAGTACAAGCATGGTATATTTTGCATATACTGGTAGCCCTCAAATCACAACTGTAATTAATGGTGCCTGCCCATTACAGTTGTAAGTTGTGATGGTCTTAAAACAAGCCATCATGTGACCAAACCCCATTTTTCAAACTTTTTTGTGGTGTCTATGGAGATTCTCAGTCATCCAGGTCATGGTTGTCCCAAGGGTGCTTTACCCAAAGGCAGCTGGACTTTTCGCCTCTCATCCAGTTCTCAAGAAGCTTCTTGGATGAGAAGCGAAAACATCTTCAAAGAAAAACCAGAAAATCGAGTTGCCTCTTGAAAAAAGCACCTTTGGGACTTTTTTTTTTCGTGATGGTCATTTGAGCGAACATTGCAGTTGTTAAGTGAACACAGTGGTCGTAAAGTGAATACCTCCATCCTAAAGCGAACGTTGCAGCCATAAAGCAAATGTTGTGGTTGTTAAATGACCCCCTTGTTCGCTATGGGATATTTCCCCCCCCCCCCCCAAATTAGAAGTAAGTGGCAGTTTTTGGCCAAAAATGTGGTAAATTGTGGTTTTGTGACCATGGGATGCTGCAGACAGCCATAAATGTAGGCCGGTTGCCAAGCACTTAAAATGCATGGGGGCGGGGACTGCCATTAGAACTTTGGAACTGAGTTGTAAGTACTTTCTGGGAGGGGGGGGGGGAATCTGTCATGATTTGAAATAGTTGCTAAGTGACCTGTCACAAGTTGAGGACTACCTGTACCCCTGTTTTAGTTCAGTATCCCTTTTTTCCCCTGGTTTTGAAAAGTTTAAGGAACATAAATCTAGGTCACTCTGGCAATGCTACCCAGCAAAATCCATCAAATGGATATAATCTTGAAGAATTTTCAGCTGTCAGAAAGAACTGCAGAACTGTAACAAGTAGAATATGTTTATATTATCCCAGCCAGTGTTTATCAATGGTGAAAATTGTAGCCAAAACATCTAAAGGAAGATGCTAATTGCCTGTTCGGGTTTACTTGTAATTTAAGTGATGGCTGACTTTGGCAGCCAGTATTGAGCTGGACTGGCTTGTTCAACTTGTCTCACCCAAATATTATAGCTATGGCAATCCCAAGTTGCTCATTTGCCTGTGTGGGTTTTTTTAATGATCTAGATATCAAGTCAATACAAACATTCAATTCTTGCTCTGCCATATGGCAGAAATGTGATCAGCTGCCTATTTACCACCACTGGGCAGGTATAAAAATACATTTTTCCAGTCTATGTGTTGCTCATTTAGCTGAAAAACTAGTAAACAGTAGCTCTCGGATGCATCAGGAGGGTAGAAAGGTAAAGTGAAGCCAATAGGTCAAAGTTCATCACTTTTTTTGGCTAAGGTTGCCACGGTTGAATATGTAATGTAATAAACTGAAACTGCTATACATTGCATACAGTATAGATAGAACTGTTTAAAAGTCATGCTGTTACATTAATGAAACTTTCAAGGGTTGGTTTTCATTTTTTTTCATATACCTGCAGAAATGATTGTGTTAGCTCTTTAAGTGGTAAATTCACTGATCTGTAAAGTGATTCAGCTGAAGCTATGTTGCTATGACGTTGTCTGGGTGGAAGGAAGAAGCAGGAAAAGAAAATTGGAAACTTAGGTCCAATTTTAAGTTTCTTTTAGGGACACTTTGTCACTTAATAGCATTATTAACAGTTGTAATGTTATTTCTTCAGGAAATTTTATTCGATGTCAAAGAAACAGAAGTAATTGTTCAACACAAAACAACTTCAAAGGTTAGAATGTTTGCCAATTGTGCTTGATTCGTGCCTTCTCAATAATTTATTGCCTTTATTTTTTATAATCTGGGCAATGCACACTTGAAATAGACGCTGGAAATGTTTCTAAGGAGTTATTTTTAATTGTAGATCTAGTATTTTTTTGTCTTGACATTCAATAAAAATAATTCCCAAAAAATTAGCTTTGACCAAATGTATTAACTGAGAATTGTTGCTATTTTCAGGTTCTTTTCCGTTATTGTTACACAGACATTTCCTGTGTGGGACGCCGTCTGGATAGCCACAGTCTCTTTGCTTTCTGTAGCTTGTAAGTTTTATTTTGAAAAACCGTCCACATGATGATATTGCAAGACTATATTTACCAGTCCCATTAATCATGTAGTAGTGGTACTAGTCATAATAGAACCATAGTAGTAGTAATTTTTAGTGTAGGGTGTATCCATCAATTACATTCAAATACTTCCGTGTGTCTTTTACTAACAATATAGGAATCTTAAGGATTTCCTTATTGGACTTTGTGAATCATGCTACCTGTTTAGCACATATTCTACATGTTCCCTTCCACATGGAATGTTATCCTGAATACATTGGATTGTTGATAAACTAGCTCATACCCAATCCTGCATGAAAAAAACCAAGTAATCCATTTTATTGATAGTCTGGTTTTTCACTTAGATCCATTAGAGGAATGCTATTATGTTCAGGCAATTAGTCCTATGCCATCTTAAAACGTATTGGATATCTAAAGTTACCATCTTTATTTTATAGAGCTTCACCTGACTCTCCAGAAGATAGCACTTTTGATTGCCTGGTTTTTGGAGCAAATTCTGAAGAGGAAAGTGAGGAAATCATCAAACGGATTGGTAAGGAATATGCTTTGAAATACATGTTTATAGTAAAGGCTGTTGTATTTTGTCAAGGTGTATTACTCTATACTTCACAGCTTTGCCTCTTCTGCAACTTTCTTCCATTTAGGCATTTTCCAGAATACATAGGTTGGAATGGGCTGTTGTATTAATCAGTCTCTTGTTGGATTAATGAAATCCTGCTAAACTAACCCATATACGTCCCAAGTATATACAGCATAAAGCTATTAGTTCTTTGATATGATCACTTTGGTTAGGCTTTTAAATTAATCTGCTCTTTACATTTCAGATACCTGTATAATGGCGTGATAGTTTAAAGAAATAAAAAAGTAGACCAAGACAGCATATTAATACGTGGTCCTGTAGTATTTGATGTCTGAAGTTTTCCAAACTTATATCAACTTGTTTCATTGTTGGGAGTAAACATCCCTGGAAGAACTAAAATCCAAACTGTTCTTTAGATAGGGTTCGTAAACAATGCTAGCAACTACACATCTAGCATGAAAGTGTTTATGAATATAGCAGTAAGCTATCTGTAATGTGTCCCAAAAAATAATTCAAGACATGACAAATTGTGTTTGTTTCTTTAGCTGCTGGATTTAAACATACAGAGTGGTTTGTCTGACAGATGTGATGTTCTGCAGCTGGGCTTCTATCTACTTTTGGAGCCTCATTGGCCTGCTAAAGTCTGTTATCAATCAGTGGTATCTTGATGTGTCAACTCTTGGATTGTGGAGTCGCTTGGTACAGATTAATATTCTGTCCAAATACAATTGTTCTAGATAAATCAAACAGAAGACTCAACTGCTTTTTCAAATGTTTACATTGCCAATTTTCAAAATGGAATAAAATCAAGCTGAAGCAATAGATTGTTTGCACAATGTAGCGTATCTACATCAAAAACAAGACCAGTTTGATAGAACAAATCAAATAACTAAACAGTTTCTCAGCAGGCAACTTTACAATTTTCATTATATTTAAAATACCCATTATGGGTTACCTAATAAGTAAGACAAAACCCTAAAACAACCTGTAAATTTATATTCTCAAACAATGGGTTGAAATACCTGGAACAGCTTTTAAGAGGCAGCACAGAAAGCTGGACTGCTCTTACCTAGTTTCATTTCCATGAGTCATCTAATTAGTCTAGAAACAAGGCTGAAATTATTTTGTAAGCTAAGAAATTGAGTAGCATTTCCTAGTTCCTATTCTGTAAATATGTCAAAATCAGAAAGACTTCACTGAGTTACATAATTGCTGCAAACTATTACTGCAATTGGGGATAAATACAAAGCATAAACATGCTTCAACTTGATTTAAGCATAAACCCAAGTAGAAATGCTACTTTTCCCACAACAATGACAGGACTCATGTGAATGTAAAACATTTAATTTAAAAATGTTGACACTACAATATATAAAATAGCTATTATAAATGCACATAGTGTATTCTATAGCTGCCAGGTTTACTGTTTTCTCTTAGGAAACTGTAAGTTACACTGTGGTTAAGACTTGTACTTCACCCTTCAGTAAGTCCACATTCTGTCACAGTGATGTATGGTCAGACTTAACAGCCCCAATTGTTAAACACTTGAATCAAGTTATAACCAGTTTTATTGCAAAAGGACCCTGTACACATTTATATCAGTTCTAGTACCTTACAATTTTAGCTACCCAACAAGTCATTAACATACAGAAACATGCATGAAAAGCAAGAAAGATCACCCATCCCTTCTGCATATTAGCAACTTGTCACTACTGAGCAACAGGGCTCACATCACTGAGTTTTATGTGAATAGTCACTGTTAGCATTCATCCTGAGTGAAAGATGGAATGACTTAAGTACAAATGTAACATATTATAAACAATTTCATACAAAAAAAAGTCACAAATTGAAACCAAAGTATTTTACAGAATTTACTACAAAACACCATAAAAACTGCTTTCTTTTAAGCCCTCTCTCCCCGTATCCTACGAGCCAACTGGATGTCTTTGGGCATAATGGTAACTCTCTTGGCATGGATGGCACAGAGATTTGTGTCTTCAAACAGACCCACCAGATAGGCTTCACTAGCCTCCTAATGTGAAAGATTAAGAAAAAAACAAGATATTGGTTAGACATTAATCTGCAAGGACATGTTATTCCTTTCCCCACATAAAAGAATAGTAGTACTTGAATAGGTTCATACCTGCAGTGCACCAATGGCTGCACTCTGGAACCTTAGGTCTGTCTTGAAATCTTGGGCAATCTCCCTTACGAGCCTCTGAAATGGAAGCTTGCGAATCAAAAGTTCTGTTGACTTTTGGTAACGGCGAATTTCACGCAGTGCCACAGTACCAGGTCTAAAGATGGGGAGAAAGAAAAAAAGGAGTAAGGCAGTCTCTGTTCACAGCATATAACAATTCCAGAAAAATTTTTAAGTACTCCTTTCAAAATAGTTTCAAAGAAGTAAAAATACACCACAGAATCTTGGTAGGGTTGATTGGGTGCTGACAACAGCTCTCCAAGACATTTATAATTAAAGCAAGGCTAAGGCTAAAATCACAGCAACAAAAGACGCTAACTTTGTTACAACATACACCACTCCCTTCTTAATCCTTTTATTTCCACAGATCAGCTTGGCGGTTGTCCTAAAACACACATTCCAGGATTGTTTTGTCTTATTACCTGTAGCGATGAGGTTTTTTGACTCCACCAGTAGAGGGGGCGCTTTTCCGAGCAGCTTTAGTAGCCAGCTGTTTACGTGGAGCTTTGCCACCAGTGGATTTACGGGCAGTCTGCTTGGTACGGGCCATTTTTCTTCACTCTTCTGAAAGAGAAAATAAATGCGATGGACGGACGCGGCAGCTTTCTCCAAATTCCCGAAGGTCGATCCGGACCAGAGTGGGCTTTCCGGCACTTCAGCCTCTTCTCTATTCGCGGTCCACTTCCCCCCCTCCCCCCCGTGACGGAAACGCTGTGGCGGGAAGGGACGGCAGCGGCAGATGTCGGGGGGGGGGTCATCGTCCTCCATGCGGGCACAGGGCCAAGGAGGTTCAGCCCGCGCGGCGCAGCGCCAGGAACTGCGCTCGCTCTCCTGCTTGCTTGCCCACGCGCGACGCCGGAGAGGAAGCTCGTTCCTTCCCTTCTGTTCCCAGCCCCGATCACTACCGCCGACGTTAAGTCTCCGGCCCTCCCTTAAGCAGCCGATGCAGAACAAAGCGGACTTCCACCTCTTTCCTCCAACCTTATTTCTCACGATATTTGCTCTCCAAAGCATGGTGACCCTCTTTCTTTTCCCCGCTCTCACTGTCCCCCTCAACCTTCGCTCCCAGCCGAAACTCACCTCTTTCGGGAACAAATCCTTTTAAAAAAAAAAAAACACTTCCGCTGTAAATACACAAATAGCACGTAGCACACAACCCGCGAAGAAACCTTAACTGTCTCCTCCCTCTGCTGGGACGCTGCCTTTATAGAGGGAGGGAACCTAAAACGTCATGACGACACAATACAGACACGCAACGCGCGGAGCTATTGGCATCTGCTTTCGCCGGCGCCATGACGTTAGCTGATACAAAGACAGTTTCCCCGCATCCTGCATGCGATTGGATGGAAGCTCGAAACCCGATTGGTTATTAAAATTGCGCGCCTATTGGCTACCGTGGGCCGGAGCAAACCAATTACAATTGCAGTGAAGCTGGGGCTTCTGATTGGACAACAGAAAACATGGTTTGGATCCTACTTTTTGTTGCAAAGCTCTACAATGGAAAGTCAATGGGAAAGAAAAGCAGCCCGTTCTGAGTACCCTGGACTCAATGGGGAGGGCAAATTAGAGGAAACACAGCCTGGCAAATACGAAGGGAAAGTGAAATGATAGCAGAGGTAGGAGTAATAGTTGACCTGACGTTCATTAGCCGTCACATCCAATTTTATTTTTCAAAGTTTCTTTACGTTATCTATAAATAAGGAACATTTATAAAGTTCAGTTAACTTTTCATTTCATTTGCCTAATACTTTTAATATAACTAACATATACCAAGGTTTCTTAATTTTTAAATCATCAAAGAAATAACATGAAATATAGAATTGGTTTGTATATTTTATTAGTAAAACTAACAGACCATTATCTAGTTTTCATGATTAAATAACCATCTATAATGGCCTGCTGCACATTTACAAAATGACAAAAAACTGAAGTCAGTCTGATTACAAAAAAATCAAGCTAGACTCTAGAATGACAGTTGGCTGTTGCATGTAAAGTACAATGTTGACAATGTATTTTAGATATAAAATGCATACCAAGTTATATTTGGCAAGTTTGGTCTAGTTCAAGGGTGTCATCATCATGTGACATATTGGGACTTTTTTTCCTCTTTGCTAAACTGGGCGGGGCGAGCCCACAGGCAGTGAGTTTGACACCTGGTCTGGTGGGTAAGGCAGCAGCTAGAAACCAGGAGACCATGAGTTCTAGTTCCACCTTAGCCATGAAACCTGTCTGGATTATTTTGGATTTGTCATACATAAATACAACTGTCTAATAATACACAACAAAATTACAACAAAATGATATTTTAAAAAATATAATTGTGTAACATTATGGATCCTACAGCTAATTTCTAGCCACACAGGGGGATCTGGATACAAATCAATAATTATGTTGTTTTTAAATTAGGTTAAGAAACTACTAATATGCCTGTCAATGAATTCACAATCTTTATTTGCTTTTAGCATTATTGCTAAACTGAGAAAGCATCTCAACAAAACATACCTGTAATGCACAATCAACTAGATTTAAAAAAACCACAATAGGTACTTACAAGTTAGAAAAAAATGGATATAATTAACAATCTTATTTCCATTCACACACACAATATAAATATACTGCCAATATATTGTCAGGATACAAAAGTACTAGATGTGGTATAAAGCAATATTAACCATAATTATATTTTAAGTGTAGATAAATACAATTAAAAGCAATTCATTTTAAACAACATACATTATTATAGAACCAGCACAGGCAACTTATAACCCTCCAGATGCTTTTAAGAATTATTTATAGGACCATTTTAATATTTCTTTTTGGCCTGATAAACGTGTTTGATCAATGTTTTGTAAGAAAACATAATGAATGGGAGTTCTCTACCCCATCTAATTAAATTTTTAAACCCTTGCCATTTCTGCAGTGTTTTTCACTTAAATGTGACTATTTAGCAACAGGTGATTAAATAGTGGAACATCTAGGCAATGCTTGTAAAATAGAGAGGAGGGTTTCTACTATACCAATGTAATTTATAACAATATTACAATTCTTATTCAGGTAAAAAATGTTCTATCCAGCCAAACCATAATCTTATGCTCATAGATCCCAACAACACTCAACAAAAAAGTGCTTCAATCATTCTTCACCACTAATCTTTGAGTACAATAGAAAGTAGTTTGATTTTTTAAAATAATGGGATAATCATCATGGAGAAGAGTACTAATCAGTTTGTGATATCCCATATTGGCTCCAAAACATTATGCATACCTTTCTGCTGTTTCACCTAGTACCTTGGTAGCTATTGTGAATTTGTACTTTGGTTGTTCCACTAATATGGTAGATAAGAAGTTAACAGTGGTGGTATTTGCTATGTTCTATCCATATCAGGAAATAAAGTTTCAGTAGAAATGATTGATGTACCAATTGTGTCCATATCTATGATGAAAAGACCTGGAAGTAGTAACTCACACTCTCATCATCAGAGGATAGATGCTGCAATATACTCTGCCTGGGACTATCTTTGGAAACTAAAATTGCTGCAAAATGCAGCTGGCTATGTACTGGCAATCAATAACTGTTTCAAACATATTACATTAATGTTGTAAATGCTGTATTGTTTGCCAATAGATTTCCAAATACTGTTCATTTGACCTTTGAAACTTTCTACAGCACGGGTGTCAAACTCGATTGTATCACGTGATGTATCATGATATATCACGACTTTTTTGCCTTTGCAAAGCTGGGGTGGGCATGGCCTGCGCATGACACATCTGGCTGTGGGCCGCCAGTTTGACAGGCCTGTAAATCTAGTTTGGCTCCTGAGTACATTCAGAATGGATTTCTCTAGGCAGAACCATTGCAACCAAAGTGCTCATTTCAACAGCAAAAATTATTCATCCCCACCATGGAAGATGGGATAACTGGAGGTTCAAGGATAACATTTCTTAGTTACAGACGGACAAAAACATTATCATTGTTCTGTAAAGCAATCAAAATGGAATTGGAGGGGTCTTTGGTACTTTTTACCTACGATGATGATAGCACCCAATGTTGCTTTATCTATTTAGATACTGTATGACAATGTTTCTTATCAACTTTTTTCTAACTTGGATTTATGAATGATCATTGTTTTCTTACTGTGTATTATTTTAATTGCAATATTATAAATCACAATAAGTCTACATACAGTAGAAATTCAGTAAATAAATATATACGTTTCCTTGATCCTAAATAGCTAAAAAAGCAGCACAGTATTTCATTTTTCATATTGCCTAGGTTTACTTATCAAATAAACTATCATTATTTTACAATATATATAAAACCTGCTGAGTCTAATACTCTGCTTCACACATACATTATCCCCCAAAGTAGTTTACAAACAATAGTGGTTGGCGCCATACAGTAGCAAATGGTATGGTTTAGCATTATATGTGAACCATTCATTCCTAAACTCCAATAAAGTTTAAGTAGAATGAGATGAAGTATGATGATCCTTTCGTTAACCTAATGATCTGGAGAATTACGCTGAAGAAAGCTTGACTGTCATAGTTAAAGAATACAATACAATATTACTAAAGATGCTAAAAAACTAAGAAAGAATATCAAAAGCCTTGCTTAGATGTTAGAAAATGATTCAATCCTCCTAACACATTTCATTTAGGACAAACCAAATGAAATATTTATTTAAAGGAAAAATAGATTAATGTCCATGAAACAAAACATCGCAGTCTGAGATCTCAAATAGATGCATAATTTAAACACAATACATATACCAGGATTTACTTTCAAGGAATACGTATGAAACCTGGCAGCATACAAATAACATGGTATTGTGTGCTTATTGGAAAAGGGTAAATGCTTTGGCTTATGACACCTTAACTATAGGAACAAAGTAAGAATTGTAAAGTATTTTGTATGTAAAGTATAACCATATGAGTAAGTGCCATCAAGTCATTGTTGACTCTTTAGAACCACATAGATTTTTCTGTGATTAACTATATGAGTAATCAAATACTGTCATGACATGTTATAACAAAGATGAAGTATTGTTATGGCATAAATTTGTCAAGGTACAGGTAACTTACATTATTATAGAAAAGCCTTGTGGTACTCATCACTTTTCTTATAACAAAATATTTGATAGATCATAATCCAGTAGTAGATATATCAATTTTAACAACTCAAGTTTATGGAATTAAACTTCTGCTTTAGAATCAACAATCCCACTGTTTTTACTATAACAACATATTTAATTTGTGAGATAATTTTGAGGGTGCTGTCTCTCTGTGTTGGAATACCAATGTGTTATTCAAAGAAAAGATCATACCTAGCCTTTTGAATAAACTGGACTCCTTAATAATCCCTAACAAATTTGCAATTACGGTATTTTAGTATGACAATCCATCCATCATCGTTTAGCATCACCACCTACATTGCATTCTTAATTCAAACTCACTAGCAAATCTTACAGCATCTAGCGACATTTTCTTTCAAATTATAATGCTAACATCGAGAAATAAAAATAATTGGGGGAGGCGTAATTAAACGATTCATAGCTAACGAAACAGCAACCCTGCTTACATTTTCTTGAAGGCAATCCATGGACGGATTGCTTCCAACTACAACTCCTATAAATCCTAGCGCTGTTACAATATCCGGAACAGCAAGCGCAGAGGCCCTCTGTACTTGTAGTTTCAAGGACCGGAAGCCTAGTAGAGGAAAAGGGGGATTTTCCGCCATCACCGAGACTACAAGCCCCAGCATGCTTTGGGTAACCCGGGGCGGTAATGGCGGCGGTAGCGCCTGCGCATTGCGGTCTCCGTGCGGACCGCGCAGAGTGAATAATAAAGCTCTCCTCCTCGGTGGTAGCGGGCGGCGGAGGAGGGAGCGGAGGGCAGGAGCATGTCGAAGGGCCCGGTAGGGACCGGGCCTCCTGCGACCGGGCCGGTGGTGGCCGCCAGCGCGCTCCAAGCGCAGCCCGAGAAGCCGCAGCACTACACGTACGTAGCGAGAACACCCGCAGCCGCTTCTTACTGCTGCTGCTCCCGCCGCCGCCACCGCCGCACCCCTCCGCCCGGCGCCCGCCCGCCCGCGCGCCACACACGCCTGACGTCAGCGGGCAGCGTGCGGCACGCGCGCACGGAAACAAACGGCCCGCCCGGAACCGGCTGAAACCGGTCGTGGTCGGCCTGGGCCGGAGGAATTTTGGCTGTGGGAGGGGGCGGGGAAGGAGCGGACACCCCCCCCCCATCTTGCGCTTTTGGTGCTGGCGGGCGCGCGCGCACCTAACCGCCCCATAAACACAAACACACCCCACAGGCGAGAGGCGCGCAAGTGCCCATGATGCGTTGCGTCGCCTTCTCCCTATGGGTCCTCTGGTCCTCCGTTGGTCTTTAAGTTGGAGGGGGGGGCCGTCAGTCTCGTATCTGCTCCTCTGAGAGTCCCCTTCTTTTCGCCGTCGCCCTCTTTTTTTGTCTAATTGGCTAAATCCTCTGCCTCGCGCTAGCCGAAGGGGACCCTTTTCTGGCCGAGCGGTTGACAAGTCGTTCTGTTAAAATGAAATCCTCCTCGGGCTACTCGGAAAGTTCGTGATCCGAGGGTCCTGGTGGGGAAAATTGGGGTGTCTTGTCACCAGCCTTCATAAACTGCCTTTTCTGTACTCGTGGTCTGTCTCGTGAAATCGAGAGCATCCTAAGTGAAACACCGTATACACAAGTACTGTGACTTTCCTCGCCATTTTCTCTTGCTGATGGCTGTCATTAGAGGGGGGCGGGGGGGGGATGTTTCTGGCCAAGCCTGCAAATTAAAAAACTTAAACGCCTAAAGGGAACTGTACTTGGGTTTCTTTCTTTCTTTTTTCTTTCTTTCTTTCTTTGAATCCTCTGGAACAGTAAGTGCCTTAATAAGGAATTTTGAGTCCCGTAGCATATTGTGAGGAATAATTCAGCTTGCAGTTAAAATAAATGGTCTTCAGAAAATAACAAAGCATAAAAAAATATTGTTATATTCTATTGATTTCATAGAAAATGTTTTAATAGCATCAACATAAAAGAGTTATGTTAAGTATTAGAATAAGTTGTCTCTTATATTTATAGGTTGCCCTCTTCTGTTCAGAATTCCTAATAATTTCGTATATCTGAGAGCAGTTGCTGTAGCAGGTACAGGTATTTTAGATCTGTTGGTAAATACTGTGCTACTTTGGGACCTTGTAAATATATTTTGGGTGACAGTTAATTTGTGATATTGTTATTTTGTATTGTTACTGTACTGGCAACACCTATTTCTACATCTATTTTATTGCATCAGGCAAAACTTGTTTTGCAGGGAATTGGTCATACATAACCTGTTCTACATTAATCTGAGGAATTCATTACCATGAGATGTGATGGGCACTGATTCGGATGGCTTGGAAAGGAGTAAATAAATTCATGGGGGGACATTCAAAGGCTATTTATAACGTTAGCTCTATGAGGGCACCATGCCAGCAAATAACAGTTACAATGAAACAGTAATGGAAAGGGAATATGAAGGACTCCATGTCATGATTATGAGCATCCTACAGGCATCTAGTTGGAGGCTGTGAGAAGCAGAATGGTAGACTAAACTATGGATCTTAGCCTAATTCTGCAGGGTTATTCATGATTGGTCAGTTGTGCTGCTAATGTCTCAAACCTAGCAAAAGCATAATAGAAAACTTGCAATACTGGGTGTATAATTGGATGATACAATAATTACTTAATTCCAACCTGCATGAGTGATTGAAGAGATTGTCCTTAATTGCAAAACAGGAAGTCTTTCTATAGATTAACCTCATATACCTACTGTACATCATCACAATTTTGAATTGTTGATAGAGATCATCATGCATGTGATTATCAAGACAGTATGCAAATTGCATTTATAATAAAAGTTAGTATAATGTTAGCTGACTTTTTTCCTGGTTTCTGTCACCTTCCACACCTTTGTATTCTCAAAATGCATTGGGATATTGGGGGAATCTCACGGAGGTGATTGATACTTGGTGTATATGAGGAGCTATAGAAAAGAGAAACTCCTCCTCTCCCTGCTTTCACTGATTAAAATATCAGTGAAAAAAATCTGATTGAATTTCACTCCATTTATTTCACAAAAATATCAGAAACAGCGAAGTAAGAATATTTAACAAAACAAAAAAGAATAGCCATGAGCTGGTAATAATCTGGTTCATTACGATGAATATTTTATTTTATTGTTTTTAATTTGTTTATGCTGAATTCTATTATTTAATTTACTGTTTGCAAATGTACAATTTAAAAATGAACTTCTTGTTAAAATTAGCTTTGACAAATCATGTGATGTTGTAAGAAGCTCATAGCACTAAATGCAATTATATACATCTTCTAGTGGAATAACATCTCTACCATAATGAGTGGTAGTCCCAGTGTCTTCCAGAATAGTTTAGAGATTTGGGAGAAAATCTATAGCACATGTTGGAAGTATATAAAGGAACTTCAGGATTAAGAGGAGGAGGGTGGGAGAGTAATATATAACCAAATGACCACATGTATGAAAAGTGTGTAGCTGATAGTTGGTTTTAGGTAGCTTTCAGATGTTTATAAGCATGTTTGGATCACACTTTCAAATGCACGGATTCTACTTTTGATGTATTTGCTTTCATAAATGTGTAACAGTTTATATTTTGCTTATGTTTTTGCAAACAGAGAATGTGTCTCCTGTCCCTTCCAAACCATACCAGTGTAGTGTTGCTACAATTTCTCCCTTACGCTTCTTCTGTGCTGCTGAGGCATATTATTATAGGCATAACATATGTCCATGTGTGTGGGAGAATTTTTTTCGACAGTCTGTTTCTTGTAGGGATATTTATGAATTATTACACATAGCATTACATCGTGACTGATGCCAATCTTAAGTAAGAAATTCAGTTCATGTACCAAATTTGTGTGTGTACCTGTGTACTGATTCCTAGTGACTGCCTGACCTGATCCCTTCAGGGAGGGTTTTGGAAAGATTTTTTTTTAAATGGTTTTGCATGCCTGCTTCCTAGGGATGAGAGAGAGTGTGGCTGGTCCAAGGTCACCCAGCTGTTTCTGTGGTACTAGGATTCACAAATTTCAGGTTTATAGCCTGGTGCCTTAATCACATCACCAAACTGGCTCTCATGTGCCACTACTCAAGACTATTACTGATTTGTAAATTTTGTGAAATAATTATAAATATGCAAAATGCATACTATTGAGGGAAAATATCTTTATAAAGAAAAACTTTAAAACTTGTATTTCTCAAACCAAATACAAGATACTAGCTAGCCTGATACCTACCTACCTAATGCAGTATTTTGATTAAGATAATGTTTAAAGTTGAGTGCAAATACGCTGATCTACTTCTACAGCTTCAGTATAATTTGTATTTAACTGTCAGGCAGGTGCATATTTTGTTAAGGCTTTCAGAAGTGAAAATTGAAAGGATTTTAGCTTTCAGAATAAGAAAATATGTGGAACTGTTTTGTTTTTGCATATATTTAAAAACAAGATAATGTAAGTAGAATTCTATCCATAGCCGCTATCCTCCTTGGGCTGATCTTAACTAGACAAAAAAAAGGACTTTTCTTTTTTAAGAATTTGATACTGTATTGAAATAGTGAGAATGGTGAGAGAATAGTCATGAAGGATCTACTAATGCTAAAACTGTTTATAAACGTAATGTAAACTATTGTGTTTAAATTGTGTCTCTTGTATGAAAAATACTTCTGAGTTATCAGTTTTTAAGTCATAAATTTAAAGTTATAGTGCATGTCAAGATTCTGACTCCTTTTTATGTAAAGTTGGCTTTTTTTTCTTTGAGTTTAGGCAAATCATGTCTTATTTGTAATGGCAATACATAAATAAAATAATTGGAAACCAGGTTCAAAGCACACTTCTATTGAAAAAGGAAGCCAATAGTGCACAGAAATGAAATGCTGTAAATGATTGTTAATGTAATGCCATGAGTTCCTATTTTTACCTGGACTACACTTCTTATAATAAACTGTGTTCCTGTTTAATATAGAACGTACTTGTATGTAAAGGTCTTTTGGTGACTATAAAGAAAGCTCCCTTTTCACCTCCAGATAAATTTTTCTCTCATTTGAAAGTGACGCTAGGATAATATGAATGTTAAAGTTTTTGAAAAAAGCTGCAATATTTAAGTTATTTTATTTGACATAATTTAACTTTTTTGCTACTGAAGAAATAGTTGTTCTGTCCCTGATTGTGGAGAAAAACAGTAATGAACTCATTTCCTAGCCACTTATAAATAGGGTCATAGTTCCTATTTTGATCCTGAGTTTTCTTAGAATTTAGCTACCTATTTTCAAGTGTGTCTTCAAATCTGTAAGTATTAGAAACAGCTTTCTTCCTCTCTGTATGTAAATCTTAAGCTTCTTAGGAAATTGAATTCTGCTACAATGTCATGTGGTCTAATTTACACTTCATGATTAATTAAACTATAGTTTATTGGCTAAAGAATGGTTATGGATTGCTTGTTCCGATTAATTGTGATACACTAGTTTGTAGAGAATCAGAAACAGCTATTCCATAGCGAACTGTACTTTAAATAGACCACCACATTTACACCAAGAGTACATGCAAGTTTTTGATGATCCAACAATCATGTTGTAGTGTGCGTATTTGTGAGATCGGCATGAAGTATAAATATGCTAAATGGAATCTGTGCATCAGTTGGCCTTTGACTCGCCCATTTATAATCCACAAAACAGATATTAGTACTAAACGTAAAAAAAGTTTGTGTAAAAGATTGGAAAAGCTTTCGATGGGAAAAACTATAAATGGCAGTAAGATGAAAATGGTGACTTTATAATATATTTGAACTCTATAGTTAGAAAACAGTTATAGTGGGATGAACCAAAATACTGTGCAAGAGTGTTCAGAGTTTTATGTTCTTCAGAACATTTCACCAGGCAAAATGATACATTTGACAAAAACCTTTCTGCTTTCTGCCTCCT